TACATGATATACCTATACTGGCTATACTATTTGATTATAGAATAATAATGATAGAATATAAAAGTAATATGAAGTTGTTCGTTTGTCTCTATGCGCTTTATCTTACATACGGTTATGCATTTTGGAATGCTGGTTTCACTAAACGATTAGTTAGGCTCTAAAGAAGATACCTATTGATTTTCAGTCCAATTGGTGAACAATTTTAGTTGTAATGCCAATTTAAAACTTACACTATATTGATATGGCTGCATACGAATTGCGTCTCTAAAAACGAAAATATTCGTCCGATTACCGAGTTGCGTCCGCGGTGTTTCGGCGACGGTTTCGAGTTACGTCCGCAAGAATAATTGTTATTCTATTTCTGTATGTTTGATGATGATCTCGTTAATATTTATTCGTCGGTTATCGATTATCGATACGACGATACCTTATTATAGGTTGGTAAATATCACCTTACAATTTATAGTTGAAAGTTAATTTTGTTCATGTCGTTCACGTCAAAAATGTTCAAACTGATATTTGTATTAAAATGAAAAACTCAAATTTAACAAACAAACGAAGAAAGGATTTAGAAAACGAAGATTTTATTAAAAATACTTAGTTTGAAACAATAATATATCACGTCTTAGTTCGTTCAAAAATGTTCCCGTTTTATAAAATAAAAATAATAGTAATTGACATAGTATCTGCGTATAACAATATTCACAAAGGTGGGATTTACTTAATACTATTTTTTCATACTATTTAATACTATTTTTAATAAAATATGAATTTTAGATCAATAGATAATTTGTAATGCCAATTATATAATATATTTTTAACGACATCATTTATATAAATGACAGTCCTCGTCAGTCTGTAAAAGTGAAAATGACAATACGTGTATATCAATTATTAACGGGGACGCAAATCGGATGTGTCGTGATAAAATCGCGGAAGCAATTCGAATGCGCCGATCGATATATATCTCGGTTTGTATGGGTTTATTATAAATTGTCCCGCCCGGCATTGCTTGTGCCACAAGAAATAATAGACAGATTATCATTATGTTATTTATTACGTCCCTTACATCGACTATCTCATTATTTACTTTTTTTTTCATTTTATCCGTTTCCGTATCCCTAAGATATTCCTAAGATAACTCATTAATCAACAAAAATAATTAGAGTTTTGTTACCAAAGTACCAATAACTATAGACGCAACTAAGGTTTCTTTTTTTTTTTTTTAGGGAGGGGGGGTTAATGTTTTTGAATATTAAGCCTCCGCGTGATAACACACCATTGTCTATTACAATAGGACCATTTTAATTCCCAGGCGTTAGCGAATTATATGAAACAGTGTGACACGTGTTTTTTTTTTTTCAACGCGCAGCAATAGTCAATGTTCATCACTGAAATCTAAAGGTTGTTAATGTTCTGTGGTTGTAATAAATGCGGTCCATTATCCAAAACTAGACTATGGATCGAATATAATCTATGAATAAAAGAATAATAATCATATTATACTTACCGGTATTGTTCGTATATTGCCGTATATTTTTTGCATTCAACACGAGTTGCGCATTACACATGCATTTCCGTTTGCCTCCGCCTTGCACATAACAAATTTGCATCCGGCAGAACCAATTTTGGACTGTTAGTTTTAATACACTGAGTTCACCATTTATCAAACTTAAAAGGAACAACGGAAATATCTGCGTTGGATTTTTTCGTTATTTCAATTTTCGAGCGAGAAATTGTGAATGTATGAAATATAAACATTTAAAAATACCTCGCTTGAAAATCGAAATATCTGAAAAAAGTGAACGCACGTTTGTATGTTATAGATAATGTTCTTACCTTGAAGACTGATAACAGATCAATTCACTCTGGTATTTAAACTAAAAGTACAAAGTTGCAGGTTGTGCTGAATGCAAATTTGTTATGTCACGCGTTTGTAAGACAGATATAACAAAATAATGCACGTGTACCGTCGCCTTAGATAATGTGCAGCATAAAAAAAACACATTCACACGTATACATAGTATAGTTAAAGTAATATTATCGATATTAATAAAAATAACATTCCTTTTCGTATATTACATTTTATGCGCAGAGGTTAGGCATTATTATATTATTATTTTGAACGCGTCACGTTTTAGGTGTATCCGCAGCCGCAGCTGTGCGTGTCGGGCGGTTATGATAAATGAACGAAAAACAAAAAAAAAGTTTTTAAGAGTACAAAATCACTCGGAATTTATAAATTTTACGAAAACGAACGTAAGATTAATAGTGTTCCAGCAGACGACCGATAATGCGGCGCGGAAGGGTTTTATTTATTTAGGCTCGGGTGATGCACTGCGAGCACCCGCGGTATTTGACGCGTTTAAAATAATACGCACGGTGACCCCGCGTCTTATACCGGGTGTCATATTCTTAAACGGCCTCAGCTGGCGGTAATTTCCGACGTAAAATATATCGCGAGATTAATAATAATATTCAATAGGGGAGACGCGACGAAGGGTCACACGACACGCATATTATATATTATACCCGTTTATTATGCAGTTATGCGTAATATTGTTACTGCACGCGGCAGAGGGATGCTGTATATAAACGACGAACAATATTTATCCGAAACTATAATTTTCTCCCAGACATTTTTTTTTTTTCGGTCCAAGTCAGCCGACTCGAAATGTCTGTGATATTATACGCCAGACATTTGTCATCGAACCGATCGAAATCTCCGTTTATAATGTAAACTTTACATAGTCATTCGTCTACGCTATATATTATTACGATTCCGGGTCGGCGTGTCACGAATCACGGTGATTTTTTCTACATTAATATGATATATTATGATGATTTAGTGTTTACGTAGTCCACGGGAAATAGGCATTCGAAGAAAAGGCGGGGGCAGGACAGGGAAATCGTTTCCCTCTGGCTTTTTAATTTCTGTATATGATGTTTGTGTATTAACGTTCAAAGAATTTACCTACATTTTTTTAAAAAAAAGTTATTATTTATTCACTTCCGATTCTGAGCGGAACAAGGAAGTACTGGTTTTATAATGATGTGTGATTTTTTTAATCTGTCTATTAACAGACTTACCTTTTTATCGAATTTTTTTATCTAGTTAATGTGCTGAGAAGATTTTTAGCGGAAATGCTTGATAATTTTATATGAGATTCATCATAATTTATGTTTACTTAATAATAACAAAAAAAAAAAAAATTGTGCTGTGTATTATGATGTAGTTATATTTTTATAAACAGTTCAAATCTTGATGAAAGTCGTACAAATTACGTGCATTTTTAAAATTACCTTCACTGCTGGGAAAACGTCTGCAAACGCCCATTCCGTGGACCAAAATACAACTGTATAGTATAATATAACTATATTTATGAAAATTTTACTCACATCAAATTTCATCAGAACCATTTTTAAAGGGTCATACCAACTAAAGGAGTGCGAAGGATGCAAAAATAAATGCTGAGTTAATTTTAAGGTAGATAGTTAATAAATGCAATCTATAAAATATGTCTAATTATGTATAATGTAAAATATTGTCGTTTGATTTGTATCTTATTGTTACAAAGTTTACCAAAAGAAATACCGTCAAGTTATGACGAGTTATGACAAGTAATGTACAAGTTCGTTTGGAGATTAACATCACTTTGTATATGTATCTAAAATTATTTTATAATCGGATTTTGGATTACTATGTACAAAATATAAATCCTTAATTAGGGAATGGATTTATATGCATTTAAAATCTACACAAAAGATGATAAAGTCATTAAAAAAGTCTTGAAAAAATCACATATTAATATTTAGAAAAAAAAAAGTTGTAGAGGGGTTTAGAAGTTTACCCCCTAACGTTTTTAAGCCTATTAAATGAAATTGTCTAACACTAAAAAAGGATTATTTAGTATTCAGTTTTTTTTTTTCATAATGTGTACAATTTTATTTGAAATAAATTATTAGTGTTAATCATTTTTTTTTAGTATTGGACAATTATTTTTAATAGGTTAGAGCCATTAGAGAGGGGGACTTTTTACCCGTCTACCTTTTTACTTTTTAAAATATTTCATAAGTGATTTGTTTAGGGTGTTTTTGACGCTTTAAAGTGCTATTTTGTAAATTTAAGTGTATATAAATCCGTTCCTTACTTATAACTATATGGTCAGAGTACCTAATAATTAGAATAAAAAATACGGGTCAAATAGATTATAACATCATACCTATTTCAAACATTTCAACACGATTTTATCGAACCGCGTTAAAACAAAAATTACTTTTATAAATAAAGGTAATTAGTAATAATAATATTATATTATAATTTACAAGATAAAAATTAAAGTCAATAATTATTACTTATTTTTACGATCAACTTATAAAATACAAATATGCCGTGCATATGATTAATAGTAATTATCATTGCCGTGTATCGTGTGAACGTTTAATCTGTCAGACATAATCTGGACGTATATATTTTATATATTATATAGTATATAATGCTGTTAAAAAATGTTCAATAAAACAACTCTCGCAAATGTATATTTAATAATAACTGTTACGTTTAACTTGGTTCGTTATCGTTCCGATGTTCGATACTTCGGATAATATTGTAAACGTTCAGAAATCGAATTCCATAGAATATTTCTATTTTGTTTTCAACTCATGTACATTATTATCATATTATTAGTGTGTATCCGTTCCATCGCGTTATCCCATTGGTACGTTCGCATTTGGTCCACGACATCGTTTTACCGGGGGGTGGGGGGGGCCCTTCGGCTGCATGCGGTTTACACAAACACGCTGACAAAAATAAACTCGTCCGTATAGTCTACGGGGTTGGTATCTATGTATATTTATACATTACACGTACGTATATTTAAAACGTGCACCGCAATATCCTCCTCCGACTATGTTCTATTGGTAGCCAATTTTTGGGGGCCCGCCGAGGCTCCACCCATGGCATTAAAATCGAAAATACTTTTATTTTTAGTATTAGTATACGGTGTCTTATTTGTATAACAGGATCTTGATGAGTGACTTTAATTTTGCAGTTGGACGCTGAGCGGAAAATCCATTGTAAGTACATTTATCGTAATATTATATAATTGTATATTAAATTCAATATTATCTTGATACCTTATATACCTGCGATAAAATGGTAAAATGATAATTTTGAATTAATTGTACAGGCTGCCCCACAAAGATATACACCTTGAATATCTCCGGAAATAATAAAGACAACCAAATGCTCACTATTTTTTATTAAAAAAAATGAATGCAAATATGAAAACTTGTAGTCTTCTTCCCCGCGAGTAATATAAAATAAAACAGAATTTGGTTATCTTTATTAACTCCGGAGATATTTAATCGTTATATCGTCGTAGGACAGCCTGTATTTTCAAAAACCAGTTAGTTAGTATAACTCTTTAGTTATAATAACTCTTAACTATTTTCGTTAAGTATTAGGTCAATGTTTTTTTTTTTTTTTTTTTAAATCTTCCCATTCATATTATATGTTTTCGTACAAACCGAAAGAAGTTCATTTATATGTTCAAGTACTAAATATAAATATTTGACGATAATAATAGTTGTTATTATTACTTTTTTTTTGAATAGCTACAAGAGTTACTATTGATAAAAGTTGTAGACAGCAAATATGTAGTTAACTTTATTTTTTATATTATTAACATTAATACTTGTATTCGTATACTTTTATTGGTTGTTTATTTCGAAAAAAGATAAGTTTTATTATATAAGATTTATTTTATTATAATTCGTTATAGATTTAGTCATCGCAACTTTTTAGTGTAATGTCTTATATAACTATAATACCTATTACTATCAATTATATTGTGTGTTTATAGATAGACACCCGTGGTATTATATTATTTTATTGATGATGAATTAAAATGTTTTGTTAAATATAACATGAGATAAGATATAATACAAGATTCGTGTTCAATAGTCACGTAAGAAAAAAACAAAAATTACAAGTTTTACAACTTACCTGTACCTATCTCACAATACAACGCTACAGAAAAACAGCTTGATGACGTTGTTTCGTTTTACCTAGTAATAAAATATTATCATTTAGATAAATACTTGAAGTGATTTTAAATCTCAAGTGAAACGATTTATACAGACTTCTATCATCAGTAGCATCTTTATTGTGGTTGTAAATTATAATAAATTAAATGCTTCTTAAAACAATAGGTATCATAAAACCATTTGGACACGCGATTAATATAGGAAAATCTGTACTTTGTATAGGTTATTAATCGTTCCGTCGTCGATCATTGATCTAATTATACTTAACCTATAACTAATTTTTACCATAATTTTTAATGAATCTCGTTAACATAATAATATGGGTATGTGTACTTGGGCATCCGATGAAATTTTTTGGGTGCGTAAAATAGGACGTAAAACAATTATTGCTATATTATATTCACGAAATTATCATACTATACTAACCATGTTGATTAGAAATTTGAAAATTAACCGAAGTATCAAGTTAAAATTAACTGTATATACTGAATTTATTATAAAATAATATTAAAATAAATAATATACAATATTCGTATTAATTGATTTTTGTTCGTGTAAATTGCATGTACACATTTTATTTAATGCGAATAAAGTTCTACGTTAAGCATATACAGCGTTGAATTTATGTTTCATATACATTTTGTAAACCATCGAAAATAATATAGGTACACAAAACCTATTAATTAAAATTCATTCATAAACATGTATGTAGATAGGTTGTATAGTAACTGTATGTGTTACAGTAAATTCAAGTACGAAATTAATAATAATTAATGAATATTGCATTGGGTACATGTAAAATCGTATCATAAAATCGATTTTCATTCTCTGTATGACGGTATAAAACGTTTACAATCTGTTTGTTTTTTTTTAAAAATACGTGATACGTTATACAAAGGTAACTTCGTAATATAATGTTCGTTGCGCTGGTATATTGATAAAATGGTTGAAAGTGTTTATTTAATGTTTTGTTTAGTTGACTATTATTATTGTAACTAGCTATCACGCACCAAAAGAAATATACAATCCAACAATCAAAATTATTTACCAGTTTCTATGGTAACTACTGTTCGTTGTGCGTGTATCCTCGTAACAATTGTTACGGCCCTTGTACCGACTGCCTTGTTATTTATTTGTTGGATTTAATTTTTTTTTTTTCATTTCATCTGTATCGCCAAGATATAGAATAAAACAACAAAAATATTTCGATTTTCGTACCAAAAATACCAAAGTGACCCTGTATCAGCCACACTTAAAGGGGTTCAATTAGGCGAGGGGGTGGAAAGTAATGGTTTATATATGTCATTTTTGGTCTAGAACTTAATCTATACAAAGTTTCAGCTCAATCCCTTCAGTAGTTTTGAGCTCGAAGACTAAAGGGGTAACACACATCCGTCCATACAAACTTTCGTATTTATAACATGAATAGGATTAATAAAACAGTATAATATTCTATAATAAACCTGAAGCTTCATTTACAAACATATAATATCAGGTTCAATGGATTTCGTAATTAAAAATTTAATATTCAATTAACTTGTCATTATTATTAGATGTATTTAACGAGTACAGAACTTAATTAAAAACACTGTAAATAGGTATTATTATAATGTCGTGTTGCCTATAGTTGCCTTTAAATTAAATTATTAAAATAGGTGGAATTTTAACCGTGTATAAACTCAGCTGAAATTTCAACTCACCAATTATGATTATTATTGAAATGTATTCGAATTAGTTATTTATTTTTGAACATTTTCCTATGAACCGTTCGTAATGTAAAAGGTTCGAAAAAGGTTAAACCCTATTTTAAATTTATTTCACAATAAATTCTACAAACCCCGTTTATAGTTATTAAATTATATAGAACAGTTTTGCATAACTCGAGAAATTTACATTTTATTTTTGGCACGCGTTCAAATGTATCTAACATTTTCCATTTTTTTTTTTTATTCAAATCGTTATATACTACAGGGACCTATTATCGGTTGTTTATTATATTACAATATCGCGTATTAAACACGCGTATGTTACATAAGTTTTAGTTAGAATTTGATTATGTTATACCTACGGACAAAAGTTGTCGGGTACCTACTGCAGTTTGATTGATTAAAATAATATGGCAAACGTTACAAAGAGCGCGCCCAATCTCGTGTAGATATATTATAGTATTCCGCGCGCACGTCGAATTATATATATATAAAAAAAAAAAAAAAAAGTCTGTCCGTCCGATCGCATACGGACACAACTTATCGTATTTTCTATAATTTTCGTAATATATAAATTAATATGAACATTTTTTTTTTTTTTACTGTTGTAGTTTTCACGGAACGGAATTTATCGTATTCAATATACGCGTTCGGTGTGCAATGTGCATTGTGCACGGCATCAATTATTGACATGATGCGGTATACCCGTCCAACGATTCGTATCCGTGTACGAATTCGTTTGGTGGACGCATTAAAAACGTTTAAACCCGATAGTAACAGTAAAGACTAAAAATCGCACGGTTCGATTCGCGTTGCCTATTACATTTCGCGATGTTGTCGATGCTCCGGCGCATACGGCAGAAAGTATAACGATTGGGGAGGGGGGGGGGAGAGTAATCCCCGTATAACCGAATTTCTAAAACCGCTACAACGGTTTATCAATATTATTGCGTAATAACAATGCGAATAAACATTAATGTACGTACCCGCTCGTTTAAGAACCTACGGTTACGATTGTTTGTAAACTTTTACGTTTTTGAAATTTATGTATATATATTTGTAAACAAGAAATTGCATTATAACTTATTGTACGTGTTTGTTTACCGGTTTTACGGATTTCGCGTGTAACGTCGAAGGAAACTATAGTGTGTTATAAGATGTTACGTTATTATCGTTTTATGAAAAGGAACCGAGAATGTTTTATCAGTAAAACTACGTTTTCGACGTTTGGCTCATCGGAGTGATACTCGGTTTAAAAACGCGTCGACATTATACGAAATCGATACAATAAAAATTATTATTCGCGATACGACGCGGCGTACGCATACGCAATAACGAACACTCCGTATAAAATTAATAATTTTTAGTTTAGTTTTCAAAATAATCCATACAATTCTCTTACTGTTCGGAAACACAACGCAATGACAATGTTGTAATGGACCGTGATTATCGGCGTAAACATCGTCGGTATTTTGTGGGTATAACTTCCCCTCCGAGCGACTTTTTATTTTACACGCGCGCGCGCGCACACACACACACACACAAAATAGTTTTTTGTTTTACTCGTTAATTTTAGAAAACATAAATACCCCTCCAATGACAAATCTCGGCCGTATATCACTGATCGCGCATTGTGTAAACATCGTGATAATACGCTCACTTATTTGTTAATAACTTCATAAAAAATAAAATACTTAACGGTGTTTATAATATAATATAATAAACGTCTACAGCATCGGCCGGGATCCGTGTGATTTTGTATTCCGATATTTTACTACCTTATTCCTATGCACGTTATTGCGTGAACAGTCTGTTAGAGAATAATAATAATATAAACATGGGAGTAATAAATATTATCACGGCGTGAAACTTTAAATGAATATTTCGTGTTTACAAACGATCTCCGGTGGTAATAACTAGTTTTGCATAACGTCGCATGTGTGTATAATAGTTGTGTATATTTCTACAACGCTGCACACTCCAAATACGGAATGTCCAACGGCATATTATTATAATTTTTTTTTTTTCGTCTTTATTTGCAGTGCGATTTACGCATTTGAAAATACGAATATTTATGTATTGGTAAATCTCCAACGAGCTGCAGTCTGTGGACGTGAAACGATACTTTTGCCCCCTCCCCCCCCTCCCCTCCTCGGTACGATCGACGCGGGACGGAACTGCGCCCTCACGTCCCTCCAGAATAATTCTATCGCCGCTACTCGGGTATCGTACTCGCTGTTCGACAAATTTGACAATGCTAAAGCAATGGACATTTTGAGTACCTATATTCGATATAAAAAAAAAAAAAAATTAACTAGGGCTACCGGTGAAAATCGTTTTTAGAACGCTTTCGGGTTATTATAGGTTATATATTTAATCTGTCCCTTTGCCGTATCTTTAAGTAGTTATATTATTTTCATTTGCGAAAATATCCAATATTTGTAAACAATTTATCGCAAACTTTATTCTATCGTGCATTTTTAGTATTATTATTATTATTTTAGACATTTTTCATTTTTTTATAGGACCGAACCTTACCATAATGCATATATTATACTTTTACGGACTTTTGAAACTTTTCCCTCTTCTTTAGCAACTCTTGAATAATATATCGATTAGAAAAAATGAAAAATAAGAACAAAATCAAGTCTGTCTGTAATATTATAATACACGCCTGCAGAAGTATTAAATTGAATTATTGTTTTAATTTAACAGACAAATTTTAGACGCATAAAGGTATCGTAATAAATGTTATAATTAACTGTATTCAACAAAAATCCATTTTTGTTTTATTTTTTATCAAAGGGGTGAATCATTATTTATTAACCTAATATACTCATCGGATTTATATATTATTTTTTTTTTAAATTAAAAACGTATTATGAATTATGATTATTTAAATTTTATATCATACAAAAACGACGTCGATACGAGACATGCAACGCCGTGGGCCCACCACCCATTTTGCATACTCTTACCGGCTTACCCTCCCCAATCGCCATAACTATAACGAACTGCGTCATTGCACCCACTCGAATAAAATATAGCCTAATAATTATTATTATATCTTATTACGTAGGTATACGTACTGTTGAATAGGCAGTCGTGACAATGAATTCGATATATTATAGTTTATTCAAATATAATATTATGCGTTTTATTATACTTACTGTAAGTCGAACGCTTTTTAAATTTTCTTTTTTTTCTAAAAACATCCTACGTGAACGTCACATTATATTGCAGATTTTTGTCGCGTTTTCCCCGAGAAAACGCGTATTATGAAATGTATATTTTTTTATTTTTAGTAGCAATCAGTGGCGTGACCGATGGGGGTGTTTTGCGTGGTCGGACATCCTCCTCGAACCGTATTCATTGACATTTATAGACCGCTGGGGAAAAAATAAACGGCTATATTTTGTAATGTGAAATGTTTGTTTAAACGATTCCTGGGAAAATGTTTATATTTATTTCGATTTGTATTCAAACGTAGTTTTATTTGCAATAATTACTATATAGTATTCAAATAAAAAACACCATTTTAAATGTATTAAAAAAATGTTCAAGTCTGTATACAACGCATAATAATTACGTCTTGGCAACAGATAATATCGCAACAATCATTGTATCTATCAATATGCTAGACGCGCTTTTCAGTTTATCTATTGCCGGACACTGCAGCGACGTATACCTGTCCAGAAGTAAGTTACAAGAGGGGGGGGGATTATTTGATGGAAAACCTCTCGAAATAATTTCGGTTGTGGTTCGAATGGGAATTGAATTATATTGCGTTAAAATACCGCCAATAGTCGAACAAAATAATATATTTGGTTTTTGGGGAAAAACATGCACCTATTGTTTGTAAAATGTAGGTAAACGCGACGAGGATATTCAGCTACATGATAATATTTGTATATGTTTGTATACATTTTAAGTGATATCTAAAAAAAATGGAAAAACATCATAAAACGTTTGTAAAAAAAAAAGAAAGAAAAAACCGCTTATAATATTCACGAGGTAAATGACAATGAAATGATTTAGTATTTCGCAATATTACACGCACTTTCACCGCATGGAAGTCGTTTCATCGATTGGTAATTTTATAGTTAATGCAACGTGGCAATGTTGAATTTCACGTCTGGACCGGACCAGCGAACGAGAGGCGGGTACGTTAAATGGTTATGAGAAATTTCGCGGTTTTTATCAATGCGTCCGAGACCGCGAATTGAAAAACGACCCGAAAACATACAAAAATATAAAAATGAAAATCGCGCCGCTTTAATCAATGTGTGCGCGTGTCGCGGTGATTATGCGTAGCCATGTTTTTATAAGTTATGCAAAATACGTCGAAATCCCAACCCCAATCTAATCGCGCGTTCTTATCATTATAACGTATCCGTTGTCGTTTATAACGGATAATATATAATCGCGTACGAGCCTACGTAAAACTGCGCGGGGATAGTGTATTTTCGTAATGGTATTTATCGTAAACGTCGTGCGTATTTCTCAAACAATTTCACACGCACACGTTTATAAATATATTAAAATTGAAATTAATTATATTGAAATATATTTAGAAAAAAAAAAAAAAAACTTCCGCGGTATACGAACGTACGTCCATACGTTTTATTTTGCGTTTCTATTGCTCATTACGGTTGTACGCGCACGCGTTATACGATACGAAAAAAAGGAACGTTATTTAGACAGAAGGTTTTGTCGCGGTTAAAAATTCACCTAATATCGCAATGTTCGCCGTGATGAAAACGGCCCGCGGCTCCGCTCGAGTCTAATCAAAGGCGGCGGTACACCGCCGAACAATATAATTTAAATTGAGCGTAGGTATTTCGAGTTGAGGCTAATAAACGGAATTGGCGTTGAAATTAACTCGGCGCAACGATAACAATGCTGTAACGTTTAACGGTTGCGCAGCAAGTAATATTTTCAGACGGCTTTTAACGAATCGGATATACATTTCGGCGTTTTTTTTTTTTTTTTACAGGTTTAATACGGGTTGCGCGCAATCGATTTCCGTTCACACACGGTTGTTCTCGCGAATAATTTGTTTCCGTAAATAAATAGAAAAATCGCAAATTAAAATAATTATTTTCGCGGTACGAAATGGTTCGTTCGACTTTTGGACGAATCAAATATCGGTCGCGGTTCACGAATATCGTCGTACATTCATAGCCAGTGTGGCACCACGACACTGCACGTGACGAGAACGTTATCGGCTATCTGTGCCCGTAATCACGGAACACGACAAGACCGTGGTTGTGTTTGTCTACGGATATTCAACGGGCCGTGTAAAATAACCGTTAATAACGATATTGTCCGTTTCATTCGGGCGCATACGAGCTTCGGACACAAATGAGTAAATTTGCGTTATTACCAACCGACGAGCCCGGAAAATACCCCTCCTTTCCTCCACTCCCCTCCATGCGCAATATCTGTTTCGCCGGTTGTGCCGTTTAATATTCGTAGACGAAATTTACATTTAAAATACCCGTGCCGACCGTTATCGCTTTGCTTAGGACGTGTTTTTACGTTGTCATTATTAAAAGATGCGGAATTTTCGCCCCTATAATCCGAAACATTTTTCTAGATTCCCAATATTTTTTCTGACCTCTTTTTTTTAAACACTTGAAAAAAAAAACAAAAACAAATGAGACGATAAATCGGTTTTATTTCAATTGTTGATTTCTGCGTGTTATTTTAACGGCTACAAGAGGAAAAAAACTCGACTGACGCGTAACCACAATCTTACCGGTTTACCGTGCTTCGCTCAGAATCGTTTTTTTTTTTTTTTTATCGAAACGGTTTGTCGTCGATTTCAATTTGCGAGCTAAATTACCTACCCTCTTCGCCTACCAACGTTCCCGACTACCCGCCGCCTGCAACAGTGGTGCGACGTACGTCCGTTTTTTAAAATTTTTTATTGAACGCATAATATTATTACACGCGTGTTGTTTATTAGACGCGTAGGTATCGTTTACTTCGTTATTTGTTTATTTGTTTGAACCGAATAACTACGGGCATAGAATATGGACGATACGCGTATTATGTAAATGAGCATATTATTATATACAGACATTTGGATAATTTATGACTTATTTATAATGATTATAAACATTACACAAAGCGTTTGAAATTATTTATGTAAACAATATGTAATATTCAAATTAAGTATACAGAGTCTCATATTTATGTAGTAGCTACTTATACCGTGGCGCGTGTTCGACGCGTTACACACTCGTGCGAACCCGAAATCCATTTTTTCAACACACGCGCAATAATGATATGCCGTTGGTGTTTTTATTTTTTATTTTTTAAAGGTACAGAAATCAAGAAAACGGACGAATAACATCACAGCTGCAGGAACAACGGTTATTAGATATTTTATAGCACGTTAAACATTTTAGTACAATATAGTTCGTTCGATTAGTTGTTTCTGTACAAGTAAAAATGCTCAGTCTAGGTACAAAAGGGGTTTTTTTTATTATATTCATAATGGATATAATCGTTAGGCTTTTATCGCTTCACCGTGTACATTATTATTATTATACTTACTTATCAAACGTTTATCAAATGCATATACGCAAACGTGCAATTATAAATGCATCAAGTGTTATAGTTTTGCATAACTCTCCTATATTGAAACGAACTACATATTTGTTAAAACTTATAGACCTTGAGGTTCGTATGTGAACGAAAATAATGCATAAGGTATAATATTATGATTCATAATTATTGTATCTGTTAACATAGTCGCCCGGAGAATTTCGCCTAGGGGACCAAGTTTGTTGACCTTTTTTCATGCAGTTTGTAAGGCATTTCCGAAAAGCCCGATGGGGCGAATGTCATCACCCCGCCGGTCGGTGCTTGTTAATAATATTCCACAATGCTTACAATGAAATGTTTACGATATTTTGTTCGAAATTCCATTATTAGCGCGGCTAAACAAGCATGCTGAATTTCATGTTAACAATGCCGTTTTATTAATCGGCCGAGTTAAGTAAATAACGCAACAAAAGGTTAAACTACGTTAACAGTTTAAATGAACTTAAATTTTAACTTTTTCAGCCGTTAACGTCTAGCAAACGCACAGTGGTTCTACAACAAATTAACAAACGTGTTTTCGAAAATTATTTCCACAACGAATGTACAACATTCGTTCGTTTTTATAACTTGTATACGTTTGCTATAGCTGCCCCGCCCGACTTGGCCCACGCCAAAGAAATATAATCCAACATTGAGCTAAGTACCCAGTTTCTATGGTAACTGCTGTTCGTAGTGCATACACTCCCAACAACTATATATATTTCGCGGACCACTTTATTGTTTTGTTTGTTGTAACTTTTTAGATTCAGAGCGTAGCGAAGTATCTATTGGTTTCACTAAAATCTGTTTTGAGCGAAAATGGCGCTTTTATTATTTTCAATTTTATTTTATTGTTGTGATTCAGTTAAAGAACGTCCGTAGAGATTCCGCCAGAAAACTTAATATTTACCTTTCATTAAACCTTTTGGCCATTTTCGAGTTATTTGTAGACATTTTGATTTTGCGGGGTTTTACGTAATGCTTATGTAGTAGGTACTTTGTGGATACAATTGTTGACTAAACAGAAATTCTTGAAAACGGAGGTTCATTATCATTGGGTTTTTAAAGTCAAATTCTGAAGAAAATCGTAAAAATCTAATCGTTTTTCGTTAGCAATGGTTCATCGTTGGTTACAGGTATAAATTAAATAACTTTATACATATCCCACCTTCCCAATTACCCACGTTTAACAGTGGCCGCATTCGTCCCCAGTATCAGCTTTTTTTAAAATTTCATCTGCACCACCAAGGTAACTCATAAATTAACATATATATACGATTTTTCAAACCGAAAAATACAAATTAACCCGCGTCTTTCCCTTTGAGAGTTGAATTCGGAGGACAGTGTAGCCTATGTGTTATTTCCAGTCAAGAACTGTGCATGTGCGTACTTTCTAGTGACGGGCTACGATATCGATATCGTGGCAAGTATATCGATATCGATTAATGATTTCCCGATATATCACGATATCGACAATTTTTTTATAATTATATTGTTTTTCAAGAATCATATTTTATTTGCAGGTTCTAAGCTATAGTAAATAGTATTTAGTGCATTTACTATTTTATTTATTTAATCGATTGGATCTTATTAGCAATAAACTAGCTAAAGTATATTTTGAATAAATAATTGTTAATAAGTATGTTGAAATATGTACGATATTAGTGAACCAATAATATCTAGATATTAAAATATAGCATTAATAAAGTAAACGAATTAAATTCCTTAATGTGATGTAAATTGGACAAATGAATACGGAAAAAAAAGTTTTTTAAGTAAAAAAAATAATCGATTTTTCCGTTTTCGGTGTTCGATAATTTTCGTTACGATATCGATATCGCGATACGATAACGGTAAATTTTGAATGATATCAATATTTGAAATTATACCGTTGCCCGTCATCACTAGTACTTTCTCATTGTTAATATTATATGGGATAAGTAAGATAAAATTAACGCGTAGATTATTTTTTACGACTTAAATGTCATTCAGGTGTTATGGGCTGGAGGTGTTGTACAAGGACATGTAAATTATAGGATTTAAGGCGCGCTAAATGGCCGAAGAGGATTGGGATAAAATAAAAAAAAAATAATAAATAAATCAATGTTTAAACGTTTTCGGTTTTTGTTATTGTCGCCGAGACGTAAATGATTATGTAGAGGGCGTAGCAGGTACAACTAGAATCGATGCGTATCAATCGATTATACGGCCCAATGTTTTCGCGATTATGTTTTATTGCCGACACTTGTCCGGGAATCGCGCCGTGATGACCGCGGAAGTCATTGCCGGGACGAAGTGTCCCGGTTATAATGATATTACACGTGCCTAAATCGTAATATTGAATAACGGCGGGAACAAGCGCGCGGGTCCGCCGACGATAACGCGACGGCGCGCCGTTACGACAATAATATAATTGTATAATGTTAATAAAATGCGATATATCGATCGTGCGCATTACAGATGTGATATGGGCAGACGCAGACCGGACTGGTGGTCGGAACAGCAGCAGCAGCAGCAGCAGCAGCAACAGCAGGAGCAACGCCGTCAAGAACAGCACCGGCAACTGCAGGACTTGTCGGACGACGGGTGCCCGAGGAACGCGGCCAACGCCCGCGAACGGGCCCGGATGCGCGTGCTGAGCAAGGCGTTCAGTCGGCTCAAGACCACGTTGCCGTGGGTGCCGGCCGACACTAAACTGTCCAAGTTGGACACGCTCCGGTTGGCCACCACGTACATAGCGCACCTGAGCTCGTTGCTCGCGACTTCCGAGCAGCCGGACGTGGCGCCCGCGGGCGAACGAGCAGCGACGGCCGCGGTCCCGATAGCGGTCACATCCTCGCTCCCGCCAACCTATTCCGTGGTAAATGTTTTACGAATTTTTACTTTTATTTTCCTACTACAGCCCTCCCCCCCTTCCCCTGTTACATTTATTACAAGCGACACGTATTGCGGTGGCCTCCATAAAAGACGGGCGTGACCCGTTTCGCCTAAACTCGACTGTTACGTTCGATCACATTTTAATCGTTTTATAATTAAGACGATGATAGTTTTTGAATAACAGTCGAAACACAGAAAATTATTTAAAAAGTCGTCGCAAAATACAAATCGTATTTTTTAAAATGTCCACAAACGCATTTTTCAAACCCGTACCCAGTTATTTCACCAAATACGTATACAAAATATTCGTTTTTCAGTGTATTCTCGTCTTTCCTAGGTTTTTTTTCGGGGGGGGGGAGGGGGTAGGAATTTCGACGCTACAAAATGTTTGATAAAATAACAGTTTGCGATATACATTTTCAAATTGTTGTCTACGTGTTTCGACCGTCGTTAACGGACGTCTACTCAATTTTAAAATTATTGAAATGTATTCAGACGGAAAGGTCGAATTCGGGCGAAACGTCCGCAACGACAATCCGCTGCAGCAGACGGTAAACTGCGATAAAATCGGCCTTTTTTTTAAAAAATCGACGGGCCATCTCCGAGGAAAAAAAATAAATACATAAACCGCGAATCGCGATAAACCCGTACGGTACGGTGTGGGTGTATAAACTGCGGTCATTTTCGGCAGACACCGCGTTACTATGGGAGGGCCGGTACATTATAACGCGATCGTCATAACGCAATGTGGAATTCCGTTACGAACAATAGTCCGTCCGCAGTGTTGTCTACGAACGAAATATGCAATACACACGACCGATCAAAAGTCACGGATGCGCGAACTGTCACCGGGTCCGAACGATTTCGGCGGACCGGCTTCAGAAGCCGTCGATCACGTTGACGTTAGAAGAACGGCGTGGAAGAAACGGCGCGCGCCGTAAAATAATATCGTGTTCGTAATAAACTTTGGTAGGATGCGTTTCCGTTTCGTAATGAACTCGAGTCGTCCGTCCGGCGTTGGTCGCGCGAACAGAAATACAATCCGACAATGAGGAATCGAATAACCGGCGTCCGCGGTAAATCGCCGTAGAAACATCGCGCATCCCCGTGACGATTGTTGCGGCCCGTTTGTTTTAACGTTTTTTTGTTTTTTTTTTTTTTTTATCGTATTTCATTCGCGTCGCTACCCGTAAACCGACGAAACTAATTTGAATACCGAAAATAACCAATAACCGTGTGTCGGCCTCTACTTTAGAGGTCGAATTCGAGGGACGGGGACAGTGGTCCGGCATAAAACCACGCTCATGCAGAGTTTCAGCTCAATCCGTTCTGTAGTTTTGGCGTGTAGGCGTAACGAACGTCCGTCCAAACGTCAATCTAAACAAACTTTTGCGTTTATAATATTTTATTTATACAATACAGGCCGAAGCCCTCCCCCCCCAAAAAAAAGAAAAAAGTAGGGACACACGCATAACAAATGGCTTACTGGTCAGTATTAGCTAGGTGCAGTTAGCGTGGATCAGACTTAAAATATTCTAGGCAGACACGACGAGAGAGAAAAAAGAAAAAAAAACTGATATTGGGCACTGTTGTGGTTGGGAGGTTGAGAACGAAGGATAGATAGAGGGGAATTTAATTTACATCTGTACGCAGTGATTAATTATCGCTAACGAAAAACGATTCTGAGCCGAGCTCTAACAATAGTATTGCTTTTTCAACAATGTGCGTTTTCACGACAACAATGATAAAAATAACAAAAAAAAAATACATAAAAACGGTTGCCGACGACAATCTCATTTTTAATCTTTTAATATTTGTTTTAATCTAAAGAACCACACGTAAAAATAAACAATTTTTTTTTATCACTTAACCGCAGAAAAAAAATAACTTTATTCTTTCGCTATTCAAAATTTTTTCTAAATATCCACTTTATAAAAAATATTATGCTAAAAATTTAAACCTACCACACATTCATAACGGGTCAATATAATTCTGAGTAATAGCCGTTTTAATTTCTAGAAAATTGGCTTGATGACAATTAATTTTCAAGAAAAGATAGGGAATTACCGTGCCGATTGTGATTCCGAATCGCGTAACGTGTTATTCTAAAAATAAAAATCGTATAAAACGAAAAAAAAAAAAAAACGACAGAGTTATACAAAGTTCGCATAACATTGTAGGACACTCTGTATGTATGTATACAACAGACACAATACAATACAATAGTCTCCATTTTCGGAGAAACTTCGACAACCAATAAATTATAGCGGAGCCGTTGCAATCAAGGCTTACAATTTCCGACGGGTATTTAAAATATACACGGATACACGTGTTGACGTTTATTGAACCGTGTATTTGATAATGCCCGCGATTTTTACATTCACCGCTGCGCGATCTCGTCCAGTGACGTAAAATATTAATATTCTGATCGAACTTAACATAATTTTAATCGAACGACCGGCACATACAGTAAAAATTACATCGGATAAAAGGTTTATTATTGAAAGTACGCGTGCATTATTAAATACACGGATCAATACACGGGTTTCACAATATTACACGCGTACCCGTGTGTTTTATGTACACGTGAAGTCGAAGTCCTCGGTTGCAATGTCTACGGTCGCACCGAAATTCACAATCGGACGGATCTTGTTTTCCCAACAATTCCGGTTACACAAATCGGATTCGTAAGGCCGTTACGCTCAGTCGTAGAAATTCATGTTTCCTGAACAATGGGGGCAACTCCCCCCCCCTAGCTTTCCGGCAAGTTAAAATAATTACATCCGAATGCAATATCTCAAAATCCCAGTCTTCATTATTAAGTACCAAGGTGAATATTTATCGTTTTGATTGCATTCCGCTAATTTATTATCACAATATACAATAATTTACGCCTTATGATTTGAATCGGATACCGACCACTCAACCGACCGATAATTTTTGGATAATTTTTGTGGACAGCTGACTCGCGGTTATTTGATGTGTTCATGTCGGTGTGTTTGCACGGGAAAAAGTCGAAGAAGTTAATTTAGCAGAAAAATGTGTTGACAGATTCGGGAAAAATAACGGAAATTGCGATTTGCGTTCAATTAGTCGCTATGAATGTAGAATTTAATATTGTACTGCTAATATAGGTGTAGAGGCACTTTGAAACATTTTCGAAAACACGCATAATACATTGGTATAATAAAAGTGTTTCGCATAAAAATGAAAATTAAGACCGTGTCCCCCTCCCCCCATACCCCTCGGATTTTCACCTCGGGGCGCCCTTGATATGGAATCTGATTTTGCGGATGGGAATAAAAACGGATTCGCGGTGAGCCGTTTCGTTTCGGCGTGGAGGACGGCGCGAACGGCACGCGATACATTGTACGTCGCCGCCGCGCCGGCGAAACGGGATTCGGAACGGCGCCCGAAACGAGTAATAATAACAACGATAATCGTCGATGGTCGCCGGCGGGCGCGGACGGGACAGACACCCGGGGAACGGGCCGCGCCGAAATTATTGCGGCCCGCGCCCGTCGTTAATCGAGTGTCGTCGGTTATTCCGCAAGTCCCGGCCGCGCGGTTTTCACGGCGCCCGTCCGACGAAGACGGCGGCGGGCTTCGGCGGCGGCGGATAGCGGACGGCACGTCGTCTCGGCGTCGTGACCTACTGCTGCCGCGGCTGCCGGGTTTACAATATTTTGCACCTGGACGGGAAAAAGCGCGCGATCGAAATTTGTGGTGAAATTAAACCGCGGACTGATATAATGGAAATTATACGCGAAAATTTAGAGAAAAAAAAGAGCCGATACTGTTGACGGGAGCGCGCCATTGTCGCGGGCGAAAAATTGGTAACGACGTAGGGCGCATAATTGGTAAACGGCGATGAACCGTTGTTGACGAAATACGATTCCCGGCAAAGTCCGGTTGGATATTAAGTTTATTGAAATGCTACGCGATTTGTTATATTTTCGATTGAAATTTAAACGTGTATAAAAAAAAAAAAAAAAAAAAAAAATAAAACGAAATTGTTATATCCGTTAACTTTCCCGAAATTCCTGACTTTTTTTTTCTAGTTATTTAGAAAACTGTATGGAAAAACTACCTTCTATTGTGCAACAATTAGACAATTAGTTGTATTACAGAAGAGATGTTAGACTTGGACTTTTTACCACCGTAAATTTGTCCGTATTACTGTAGATCGTTGCTCGGTGTCTCGTAAAAATTGCTTGGAGAATCAGTGACGATTCTAATACACCAAATAGATCCGGAATTTTACAAAACAGCCTCTTGTAAATTTTAATTGGCGTATGATTTCAGGTTGAAAAGTTGTTTACACACGAAAAAAGATAAAAAAAAAATAAGAAGCACATATCATAGTAAAATTATTACTACCTATCATTTTGACTAGCGAATACACTAGATCCACTGTGCACAGAAATTCCTCCTCTTCGCGTCCCTAGTACAAAATTAAAAACTGTTTCGTTTCAATTTCGTTCTCAAACTATCGTTTTGAGATTTAAAATTCTTTTTACTATACGAGTATTATAGTACACAATATTATATAAAGTGTACGATACGTTATTAGGGAACCAATAATAAGTACTCGCCGTTTTATGGCGGTCTGTCATTGTGAGAATAATATACAATTTTAATTGAATTGGCAGCGAACCATTAAAACAAATCGAATTTCTGCTGATTTTATAGGACGTCGGACGATTTAATAATAGATAAAGTACCGATACATTAATATTTGATTTAATGTGTTTTACATTCTGAGCACACAGCGAGAAATGGATTTGTTTTATTAAAATGCGATGTGCTTTTCTGCTTGTCTGCAGAGTACAAATTTTCGATCAGAAATCTTGCTCCAGTCATCAATATCGGGGGCTTGATTCTGGAAGCGAATTTTGTCTATTTGGTACATTAGATTTTACACCTAGGTTATTTTTTAAAAATCGGGAAATACCGGGAAAAATGGAAAAGTTTACATTTTCAGATTTTGAACAGAACGAGGAATGTATTGGTTTGATAATGATGTGTATTTTTTTTTGTTTTATGTGAACAACTTTTCTATCAGAAATTTTGCTTCGATTTTTAAGTGTTGCATCGTTTTTGAAAGGAAATTTGACTGGGATGGTATTTTGATTTTCCCAGGAATTTGTATAACAAATTGGAAAAATCAAGAAAAAACGTAGGAAAAATGGAGAAGTTTACAAAATGCATTAATATAAATTCTTAAATATTACGATATAAAAAACTTTCAAAACTTTTAAAACGTGATTAACCGAATTTTGCTCAGAATCGTTTTTCGTTAACAATAATTTATCGTTGCGTAGAGATATATATTAAATTTTCCTTCTACCTTCCCAATTTTTCACCTACAACAGTGGCCCAGCCATCGTGCGAAATATGTCCGTGTCTTTTTTCTGGTTTTGTTTTTTTATTTTTGTTATTATTTGGTTAAAAATAATCATAGAGACCTGAAATATTTACAGAATTGTTGTATTAGTCTTTTTTTAGATGTGGTCAAAGCATTCTGGTTATTTTTGAGCTAATTATAGACATTTAAATTTTTTAAATTCCGGCATTTCGTTTAAAGTTAATATTTTGACGGAATTCATAAAAATTACTGCATTTTAAAACAACGTTACTTTGTAAGTTGTTTACATCGCTGTTTACAAAATTAAATTTAATACATTAATAAACTTTATGTACTCTATACCTTTCCAACTATCCATCTATACAACAGTGGCAGCTCATTTTTGGGTTTATTTTATTTTTTAGTAAACAATTTCGCTACTAGAAATCTGTCTCCAATCAATATCTCTAGAGGTAGTTTCTGGTCGATAATGTTGTCTAGTTGGTGCAGCATTCTATTTTAATAATATAATATGGTAAAAAATAACGCGAAGAAAAACAGAACGATTTCTATTATTCTTTTGTTCATCGATCGAACTTATTACGTTTTCAATCCTCTACCTACGCTAGGTGAAAAATAATTGTCTTTCGCGGTTTGCATATATGACGTCAACGACGCCTATGTAGAATAACGTTAATAATACGGTACCTATTCGTTTTTTATCCGCCACGTGGGTTTTTTATATGTCATCAACTGATAGTGTCGGTGAAGGGGAAGGAAAAGGTCGCATAATCTGTCGGATACGAGACGCATATAATATTTATTTAAAAAAAAAAAAAAAAATACACTAAAAGTTGCAGATAATAGTAGTATGAAAATGTTTTAAATTCTTACTTTTTTTTTTTTTTTTTAATATCCCTGAGTATACTTAGTAAGGTACTTTCTTATATATTTTATATGCAAAAATAAACCCAAAGAGACAGAATTCTTTATTATTATATCCCCCTCCCATAAATTCGATAACAGGTGTTTTTATACTCTAATCTCGACTTAAGCTCGATGCTGAAAGGACCTCGTGATTTTCCACTTCATTCATCGGATTCCGTTAAATGTAACCCACTTCAATTAATATCACATACCTGCACTATAAATCTATACAATTTTGTTACAATTTTCCATACTTTCGATAATGAGTTGAATAATACGTGAATTTTAAAACACCATCAAGATTGTCTTCAAAATGTTATCATCTACAAACATTATAATATAATAGGTGTTTTTTTTTTATCTAAAACTAATTTTAAAGACCTCTATTTCGTTTTTTTTTATGAGTGAACACTTTTTTGATACATTTTGTCCGTTATACAGAAATATACCTACCGCTAAAATGGCACTGATGTCTGAAACGGCTTCTCAAGGTAATTTATTAGTTTGATTTTACAATATATTATTACACAGAATATAATTATTATATAATAACAACGATGAACTTAACTTACTTGACTTAATGCGATCGTTAGGGTTCGTTGAGATCGTCGACTGAAGACAGTTTCACCGTTCTATTATGGCAGATAAAATAATTATCTCATTTACCCTTTTAATAATAATTATGGAGTTCTCTATTATCATTTTCAACTAATAAAAACAATAAATTTTAAGTCGTTTTAGGTATTTCGTTTTAGCTTTTTTATATTTCGGTGATTTGTAGATATTGAGTTTTTCGATAAATTGTATGTAGTACTCGAATTGTGAAGGGTGAGCAGAGCTCTAGAGAGAGCTCTTATACTATTTTTCTTTTGTTTTCACGTTCGTTCGACTTTACTGATTATTTTAATTGGGATGGAGAGATGATTAGTCTCTTTTTGATAACGTACCTATACCTATTATACCAATTACATATTAGAATATTTAAAAAAAATCAGTAATTTAATCGTTCTGCTTTAAATTATTATCATTATTCAGTTTTCTGTATTGCATTTTTGTCCTGTAATTAAGTAATGTAATATCTGAATTTTTTTTCCTTATGTGAAAATAAGAAACAATCTTATAAAAATAGCTATTTTAAATAATATTATTAATAGTTCTTCTTGTCGTGTCCGGTAATAAAAATGCCAATAACAATTAAATTAAAAGGAGAAAAAAAAAACAAACAAACAAACAAATAAAAAAAATAAACAAATAGAATTACATGAATGCATAAACAAATTAATAGTAATATGTATGTATAAATAAAATAAATAAATATGTAAGCAAAAACGTAGTCTGCAAAATTATTATTCATTGTGTGATTTTCTATAAATTGCCATGTATTAAATTATTTATGAAAAAATGTGGTGTAAGGGATGTTGTAAGGATAGAGCATAGCCTCCCTACGTTTTGGGTTACGTTTAATAATATTATAAAGGACGCTCATTTTTTATAAGTCTCACAGTCCCTCATATTTTTTTTTCCAATTTGAACACTGTTTGTACGCCGTTTTCCTTTAAAAGTATATTTTAGATATAGGTACCGTTATAATTACCGTTTTATAATGTACATATGATATTATAAAGGTGACAAAATACAAATAAGGTAAGTTAAGTTCAATATTATAATATCAAATATAAAAAGGACGGACATACTTAGTGCACCCACTGTTTTAGGTGGAAAGTCGGGAAGGTAGGATACGGCCGGAAATTTAATGTATATCTGTAAGCAACGATAGACCATTGATAACGAAAAAACGATTCTAAGTGGAGTTCAGTTGATAGTGTTGCTTTGTCAACAATACAATATAATATGGTATTTATCATATTATGGTAAAATGATTACAATAATGTGCGTTTTCATGATAACAATAAAATTGTTTAAAAAAGATTAAAATAATAAAAACTTAATAACTAAAAATAAATAAAAACGGTTGACAATGACAACCTTATTTTTAATCTTTCAATCTTTTTTAATCTAAAGATCGAGGTTTTCCTCACTATCTCAAATATTGATGGGAATTTCAAAAAATGACCTCTCTAAAGAACTACTCAGAAAAAATTACGTTAATACGTTTATACGTATCGTGTAATAAAGTAACAACCAGAAAAAAAAATTCCTTTCAGAAAAGTTGCTATACTTGATAATCGGAGTATGCTTTCTGGTAGAAGAAGTGTTCACATAAAAAAAGAGAAAAAAAATAAAACTAACATCATTGTAAAACCAATATATTCCTCGTTCCGCTCAGAATCTAAAATATGACGATATATTTTATACCGTTATAAATTATAATATTGTTGTTAAACAAAAATAATTAATTTCGGAACCCGAAGGATATATTATTAGGTTAATGTGTAATTATTATTAATAACCTGGCTATTGAACTGTCAAAAACACGGATAGAACGGTAACTTTATACACATATTACTGTACAACAATAACAGTATACCTGAAATCGGAAATAGAATATTCCCGGTAAAACAATATTATACTATTATAAACCGTTTCGGGAGAAAGTATAATTATAAAATATTATGTTAAATTAACTCCGACCGCGTTAAAATAATATTCTCCGTGTTCATATTTTTAGAGCACACGTTAATATTAATTCTTATAAACGTAAATTAAACTCTGATACACACCTTATAATATGTTCCTCAACGCATCTACGATAACACCAGTGGCATTTAAAATGGCTTTATCACCTAACCTAACCTAACCTAATATTTTTCACGAGACGGTCGATAAGACGTAGTGGTTGTTATCAGTGACCACGGCTGTTCGAACCATAGACTTATTAATAAATGGACTGTGCAGTAAACGGGAATCCGATATTGAGTGACAGAGGTAGTGCCAAGTATAATGGAAGTCGGAAGAAGTCGTAATTTATTTTTGGTATTGCATAATTCATTGTAACAATTCATAATTTGATTTAACGGCGGCGGTAGATAGTATAAGCAAAAAATATCGAAACGGACGTTTTCTACATCAATTTGATTTGTGACCACAGAAACGTAAGCATCCGAATCCTTTGCATTCGGATGCAATTCAGCATATTTCTCATTGGTGACCATACTGATTTCATTTAATTTTGTGGTCGTTTAAATGTATTTTTATACCGCGGTTCTTGCGAATTCATTGATTAACAATTCACAAAATTGATAAGTGATTTGAAATTTACGAATTTACGATAAAACATTATATTTTTTCAAACATTTTAATATGCTTAATTTTGAGATGCTCCGATGCTCGTACCTATTAATAGGAAAACAAATTCCTCAGAATTGCCTAGTGGTTAGACACATGCCTACCCTTTCTATACGTTAATCCGAGCTTAGTAACTACCCCTAATGCTGGTGAATTTTGACCAAGATTTCTGATCGGAAAGTTGTTCACAAACACAAGAACACAAAGAGTAATCTCTATTTCTCTATGGTTTCAATCCGTAGATTGGTTTGCAGCTCTCCTCTATTCTTCTCTATTGTTTGCTTGCCTTTTCATTTCTACGTATGAGTTACATCCTTGGTCTTTTATTATCTGTTGGATATATTCTAATCTTGGTCTTTCCCTTTACACTTCCCTCTATAATCAGTTTTAGCAATCCACCATATCGCATTATATGGCCTATCCATTCGTTCCGTCTTCTAACTACATTGTTCCATAATAGCTTTCCCTCTGTTATTCTTTCCATTACCTCTACATTGGTTACTCTGTCCATCTGTCCATCCAACTTATCATTAACATTCTTCTATAGCACCACATTTCAAACGATTCTAACCTTCTTCGTTCTTATGTTGATATTGTCCAGGTTTCACAACCATAAAGGGCTAATTTATGGAGTATAGACTCCATAAATTCTACTTAGAGTATAGTAAAATTGATGATTCCTCGCAAAGTTACAAATCTAAAAAAAAAAAAAGTTATAAGTAATAGTTCGATTAAACTGTTCCAAAAATGTTGCGTACCATAACAACAAATAATTTCGTCAACTTAAACGTTAAAAATATTACATAATATCCGTAGGACGAATTTGGACGATTAAACTAAAATCGAGTCACTATCAAGACGAAACAACTTGCAGTTTTTCAAAGTGAATTATGCGATTTTTACATTCAAACATTTTTCATGTAAATTGTTATTGCAGTAATTTAGTAGTTTTTTTTGTTGTTTGGAAACTGCTATTTCGTTTATTATTTGCTTGGTTCGAAACGAATATAAGACTTGTTTTTTTTCTTCTAGAAGATTTTACGTCGACCGCGAATAAAACAAAGAACTAATTTACTCTTATTTATTTAATTAACTTTATTAATTGAAACTTGTTCAAATATGAAAATCGAACAAACTGCAATATAATATGTATACACACAAGTTTGCTATAATGGATTTTTGGTTTGTTTCCAAATAACTACTACTATACAAGGTAAATCGAAAAACTTATTTAATCGAAAGAATATAGATAGGTAATTTTTCTTTCGATACGTATTATTCTCGATAGTCGATATATTATAATTAAATCGCAGTTAATGTGAACATAAATTGTGTATGAAGAGCGTCCCACCGTGTTCTTAGGAGTTTTATATCATTGTTAATATTTAAAATGTTTAAACATTTTATTATTTCAATTGTATGTATTTGTTTTCAAGGGTAGGGTGGAATTCATCATAGGTGCACCATCTATGGTCAATGGTTAATGGCCTATTATGGCCACTCATTTTTATTTTGTATAATTTTTCAATAGCCATATAATAATTATTGTACTAATTTGCGTTAATGAATTTACTAGGTATTTTCAGTATTGTGTTCCAAAACCATAGATCTCGTTAGATAATAGATCATAGATCAGAGTTCTATGGATGACCGTAAAACAGTAAAATACAATTCTAAAATACTAATACTCATTTTTCATTCTGCAATGTTCTCAAGGCTTTGAAACTAAGAATTGGTAAATACTAGTAATGATTTTATGGTTTAATTTTGAGTTTTTTTTTTATTAAACGTAAAGAAATTATATTAAATATTCATAGGAAACATTTCTAAAGATGGTGACTCTATCCTATGTATGTTTAGAAAAAAATTAAATATTCATCATCACCCCTTAATCACTACAGAAAAATAACATTATTTGTTCAAAATAACCAATTTGTAATCAATATTATTCTAAAAGTTTTAATCCAACATACATAATATACATACTCGTATGTCTCGTAAATCTTTTTTCGAACAGTACAGTAGCTGTTTTAAATTCTAGAAAAAGTGAAAATTCACAATCGCAATACAACTGTCAACTGATAACTATTTTCAAAATAAGCGAGTTTTCATTTTATTCCGTACCTGTTACAAATGATTTATTGTGTTAAAAATTGAAAATGTTAGACAAATAGAAATTCAAACGGAAACTATTGACCGGATATAAATGTACGGAATTACGTACAAATTATGTATATATTTTAAAAAACTAAATTCGAAATAGTGAGATTATGATGGGAGAAAAAACACTCTGTATACTATGCGTACTCTTGATTCTGTATTGCACAGAAATATAAAATCATGTACCCAATGCCGGATGTCCTAAGAATTTATAATGTCGGCCGTTATTTCCTGTTACCTAACGGGAAATGATAACAAGTACTTATGCAGACGAATGATATATCATTATTACACCCTTTTAAGAATGGTCATCATTTATTGATTGTAAACGTTTCCGGTAACGTATAACGCAATATATATATATATACATATTTCATTTTACGCAAATTAACAAAACCATAAAATGAGGGGGTTTTTTTTTTCGAAATTTGTCCCTTTTATCGGAATATCTATAGTATTTAATGCGTCAAATTATCGTACCTACCGTCGGATCCGATTACGTTTCGGCCGATGGTGCCGTAATGCAACGTTCGCATTGGCGGGCGAAACGTCTCTCGTATATACCTAACTAGCACATCTCCCTGTTTACGACAGTTCGTTTTATCGCCGCCTCGATATTATTACGACGTTGTTGTAATATTATTACGGTTTTATTATTTTATTTTTTTCTCACTCGTTTTATTGCTCCCCCTCCCCTTTCTTCCGATGCATCCGAACGGACGGCCCGTAGTAATGTAAGGAAACAAGATATTATGACGACGACGCATAACAATATAATATATTGTTATATAGTGAAATGTATACACAGTCCGTGGGATCATTTATATCGCCGAACGCGAAAATAATACGAAACAAAATAAGGTTGGGTTAGAGATGTATGTATATGAGAATCGTTAAAAAAAAAAAACGCGAAACGGAACTATAATATTATAGTAAACTGTGAATTTGTAGGAAAACGTATTATCTTTAGCTCGTATAGTTTTCAGCGGTATGTTGATAAATAAATATTCATATATTTGAGGAGGCACTACTCCGGTTAGAATCGTTTTTCGTTTTTAGCGGCATACAGTTTAATATCATAAACTAAATTACTATCTTACCGTTATTAATTAAATACCTATAATAGTGGCCTGCTCGTGGACGTCATCACCTATGTTTTTTGCGTTATATTGCAAACGGTATTTACGACGGTTTTCGTCATTTGAACCGTTTTTGTTTTATTGTTATTCGTAAGCCCCCCCCGTATCCAAATAAATAGACATTTGTTGTTTGCGAAATAATGTACCTACCTAGGTATAAGGTTAGGATTTAATAGAAGCGATTAATGCGACGTCATAGTATATGTGACCATAACAATCCTTGTCGAGTGCGATCGGATCCAAACAAATACAAATGTACAACACGAATACATGTAGTGGCGAAAACGAACATTTAACTATTAGGAAGCTACCTATAATCTACCCAAGAAGTACCCACCCATCAATATTTCCAATATATCGCGATATGTTCACCTATTTTCATTAAATATGTAGAAAAAGGGTGCTGCTATTTAATTTGTCTCATTTTAAACACGCGCCCACCTTTAAATCTTAAATAAAACCGTGAATCGACCCGCTTCTCAAAGACCCTGTTGTACGCGTTATAAAAAGTAACGTTTCTTAAATTCTCTTGTTTAATAATCGTGAAATCTCAATTTGTATACAAGCGCTTTTCGAACGGGATCACGGTTTGGAACCGAATGATCCGTTTAACCAATTACTACCGACAACAGACCGACAAATCTAATTGCTTCTATGATGATCGAAAATGCAGGGTTTTTTTTTCAAAATTGTTTTTCTTATTCGACAATCGCTTTAGGTTTTCATACGTGTACGTGCGCATTTACGATTTCGGTTTATTCGGCGCGTTTTCGGCTACCAACCACCCACGCTGCATTTTCGTCGCGATATTAAATTTCGAATGACATTACGCAAAAATCCTGGTCTGGTATAATAACAATTTCGGTATTGTTTACACGCGAGAGTCCTGCGCGATGATTCGCCAGGAACAGCGCCGAGTAAAACCGGCAAAACCTCGAACGGCGTCTAACCTAACCCTACCGTCCGCCCCCTTGATTTCCAGCTTTACCCCGCACGTTTCTCGGCCGTTCCCGACCGTATCGACCAAATCCCGTTAAACGGCGCGAACCTACGGCGGCGGCGGCGGCGGCGGGACGGCCGCTCCTCGTCTGACATAATATTATTATAAACTCTTTGCCTATAATTTATCTATTCGTGTTACACCAGGTGCGTTTTGCAAAAAAATACTTCGGGGTGGGGATTAATGGTTGAACACTTTCATACTCTTATACCAAAGAAGTTTCTATAGTTTCAACTGTAGTATTATTTATTTTTTATAAAAAATTTCAATATTTTATGACATTCATTTTTAGCCTTTTATAGGTACCTATTACTAAATTTTACATTTGATATTTTTTTAGTGAATAAAGCCTCAATGATAACGTGATAATGTGATGATAATGCGGACTCTGCAATATCTCCGTATCAGTTATAGTTTTATAATAGCAGAAAAACCACAAACAATTAGAAACGACAATTATAACAACATACCCAAGTACTATCTAGTAATAAAACAAAAATTGTATTTATCTTCCTCATTACACAGAAACCACTTTTGAGACTCTATTAAAAATCTACTTTCATCATAATTTTTATGAAATTTTGTGAGAGGGAGGGGTTGAACTCCTAACCCCCCCCCCCCTTTGTACACGCTCCTGTGTTACATCCTACCGGTGCAATCCGTGCATTTCGTAAGTTTCGTGATGTTAGTTTTAACGTTCGGGTGTATCGATGCCTATTACGAAACCTTAAGGCAAGAACATTGTCTGTATTCGCACGTCGGTATTGTTCCGATACTTGAATTTACGAGTGAGTTACGATGGTTTTTAAGCCGTAATATTTAGCATGTTCGTAACTTGCTTGAAAATCGAAATATTAAATAAAACTATCGTACACGTATATAGATAACGTTAAGAGGACGTTATATCCCCATGACGTGCTGTTTAAGCCAAACTAACGGACAATACGGCCAAATCGACATTACGCAGACTGCGTACAACTCGCTTAATTTTGGTTATGGAGCAAAAGCGTCTACTATAAAACTAAAAGAGGACGATAATCCGGATGGTAAGATGATGCGTTTATTTTAGATTTCGAGCGTAGCGACGGAGCTATTGGTTTTACAATGCTGTTTATTTCTTCTTTGTTCTAGTTTGTTGGACACGTTTTTTCCTAGTAAACTTCCACCGATTTATACGTGTAGCATCAACTTTTCTGAAAGCTCAAGTTATCTAGATTGTACTTTGAAGAGGTCATTTTTTGATTTTCGACGCATTTTTTAAATAAAAGCACTTAAATGGGAAAAAACGTAGGAAAACCTACAATTTTACGATTTCATAAAAACACGGACGGCGTTTTCTACCAGGAATCGTCTTTCGTTAAGCAATCGTTTATCGTTGCTTACAGGTATAAATGAAATAACCTTGGTGTATTCTAGCCTCTCAACTTTTCACCTACAACAGTGGCTTCGCCCGTCCCTAGTATCAGCTCTTTTTAAATTAATTTTTCGAAATATTAGAATAATATGAAAAAAATCTTCATCACGCCCTCCGGAATATTGCCCTCTTTTAATTTAACGAGGGTTGATTTTACTCTAAAACCAAAACGAAGAGAGTTGTACACAGTCTGCGTATGGGAGATATATTTTTACATTACTCGTTAGTTGGGCTGAGACGGCACACGCGCGGGTGTGACGTCCTTTTAAAGGTAAATGTCAAAAACAACAGCACGAAATGTACGAAAAGTATAAATACAACGTAATTTCGCGAATCGGACAATTTCGCCGAACATAATGTGTACACTATACAGGGTCGGTACACGCGGGTATTCTTAATACGGGACCGTAATATTGCAACCGTACACACAAACAAAACGAAATGATATCGTCTCGTTTCTCACGGTTCTTCTGCGACCGCACACGTTCAACAGCGACCGCGTGCCGCGAGTTGTTTATAAACATTACCGACGCCTTTTTATTGTTTTAGATTCTGTGCGGTGCGAAGAACGTGTAGGTTTTACTGCGCTGTTTTTTTTTTTTTTTTAGAATCTGAACGGAGCGAACGAAGGATCTGTCGGTTTTACTGCGATGCATGTTAATTTTTGTTTCTCGTCCGTAAACACCATTTCGAACAGAAAACTTGCTTCGATCGAAACGCGGTGAGAGAACTTTTTTGTTGTTGCATTTTGGTAATATCTCGATTTTCCGAGTAATTTTCGTGATATTATTGAAAAAAACCGGGAACGAAATTATAGGAAAAACAGCTAATATTTACGGCGTACCGATTTTATTGTTTTTGATTTTTGCGCACAATGTTTTCTACCAAAAATATAGCTCCGATAAAAAAACAACAAGTGACCTTTTTTGTTGAATTTTTAATCTCCTTAGTAAATGAGAAAGTCGATTTTTGTTTCTCTATTTAATTCTCTTAATAATTTATCAAAACTAACAAACAACGTAAAAAAAATACAAAGAACGGGCAAGTTTACGGAAATAATAGTTTTATTATATTTAGTTTTTTTTTTTTTTTTTGTTTTGTTTCAGTTTAAAATATTCGTAGACTTGACATTTTATTAGATCACTTATATTTTTAATTTTTAGACGTGATCAAATTTGCAAATTATTCTGGCGAAATGTTTGTACGCTTTTTATATTTTCAAGTTTTTTTTTAGTTTTTCTTTGGTGGGTAAGTACTGTACGAGTAAAATGATTTGACCAATCAGAAATAATTAAACATTTAACGTTATATGTCGTACTTAGTGTGGTAAAAAATGTTGAACGTAATAGGTGCAATAGTTTTTAAAATCTTGTTTAATAATCGTTTTAAAATCAAATTTTGAAGAAACCCGTAAATATTACGGGAATTTCAAAACACGTAATACGGAACTTCGCTCAGAATCGTATTAAGTCAGCAATGGTTTCTCCTTGAATTTTCCTGGAGTTGTATCTACATTAGGGAGGTCATTTTTTGATTTATCCACAGGTTTTCACGATAAATGGGAAAAACGGGAAAATATGTACAATATTAAACAAATATTATTAAAGAAAATATATTATAATTCGACACGTTATATTAAATTGTTGACAATGCAACGTTATTAACCTAATTCCGCTCAGAACCGTTTTCCGTTAGCAACGGCCATTGCGTTAAGTTTCCCCTCTATAACCGCTCGACTTCTCGCCTACAACAGCGGCCCACCGACGTCGCGCCAAGCGTGCCCGTAAATCTTTTTTTTATTTAACGTTGTTACTCTGTTTATTATTGTTATTGTTGTTTTTTTTAATTTTTTTTACGACGTCGTACCGATTTCACTGTAATACCCGTCGCACGCACCGCGGGCGAAAAGCCGAGCGGCGCCGGGGCTACAACAACGGAACGCGGCGCGTACGGACTATGGGTTTTCAACCTTTTTCCGGCCGTTTTCATACCCGCGGAATATTACTGCGTCCCCGAAACGCCGCCGGACGTAAAATACAACATGACGTGCTACGGTACCCGCGTACCCGCCCGTACTCGTATACGACGGTGCGCGGCGCCTGTGCACGCAATTATTATACCGGTCCGGACAAATATTTAGACGGCCCGGCGATTTCCACTTTGATCGCCCGCCCGGAGACCCTAAACAAACACGCCTCAACCTCCCACCCCCTCGCCCGTCTCTGCCGCCACCGCGCGCGCGCGCGCGCGCCAATTAACATCCGACCCGCACGGACGTCGCCGTTTCGACTGTCGTCCGTTTCGACAATTTCCGCGCGATCGTGTCTATCGGGTACGCGTAAAACGCGCGTTATTTGCCCGGTTTGAAACGTTATGGCGGCGCGGACGTGCGCGCGCCATGGTCCGGTGTCGCGATGTCGCGTCCGTTTGGCGAAACCGAGAAGGCCCGTCCGGTTCGCGGAACGGACGCCGCGTGTTTTTGCTCGGCGAAATATTTTGAAACCATCACTCAATGCGCGGCGTGTCTTTTCGCGGAACGGCCACTAGAATTCGATATCGCGTAATTTCATTCGGATCGAACGGCCCCGTCGTCCCGGTGCAATAAAATATTTAGTCTTTTTAATAGATGTTGTTTTTAAACATTACGCAGTACGTTTTCGTCTCAATAAAAATGCCTGCACGTAAGATAAATAAACTTGTATCGAAAATACTGCCGCAACTCTGACACAGATATATGTTATTATTATTTACTGCACAGACCTGTTTTGATATTTTAACAGAAATCCAATAAAAGTAATTGATTTTATTTTTGACCGCGAACTATACCTAGTCGGTAAATTATTTGTTTTCATCAATAAATGTCTTCTCGATCCCGGGCTTTAAACGTATTATAGTTTTAATCATATTTTTGCAAAGTCTATATGCGAAAATTCAATATATTAAAACCGTGTATGCGAGTAACCCGAAATGTACCTAACAATACCGTTTGAAATTAACTTATTCTTTCGAACACCTCGTCACTTGGATAAAAACAAAAACTTTTAATTTGTTAAATTCGATAGATTAGTTGTAAAGTTTTACAGTGAAAGATGTAATATTAAATTATAACGTTTCGCCGTTGCTGCATTATTTTACGTACGTATATCTCATAAATTATTACTGACATTAGTTTAGGTAACTCTCAACATTTATTACTGTTTTCAGTGCATATACAACATAATATACCTAATATAAAAAAGAGCCATTACCGGAGACGAGTACGGCCACTGCTGTAGGTGAGTAGTTGGGAAAGTGGGTTGCATAAAGTTATTTAATTTACAACTGTAACCAACGATAAACCATTGATAACGGAAAAACGATTCGGAGCGAAGTTCGGCTATACATGTTTTGAAAGGCCGTAATATTTATGATTTTCGTTAAAATTTGATTTTAACTCTCATAAAAAAAAAATTTTAAAATATTACATACAATTTAATTTTTTTTTTACCACTACGTATGACTTATATAATGAAGCTTTTATTAAATTTTCAAGTATTTATGTTAAGTCTAACAATTTATCTACAGATGACCTATCAAATAAAAATTACGTAAAAAACTCGCAAAATTAAAATGTCCAAATAGATTCAAATAACAGCTGAAAAATTGCGCAAATGTTCTGAACGTTTTACCGCGTCTAGAAAAAGTAAGTATAAGTTTTCTGTCGACATTTTAAGTTTCTACGAATATTGTAAACTGAATTACATAAGAAAAAAAACAAAATTTAAAAAAAACTATTTTCGTATATTTTCCCGACCTTATGACGTATTTTTCGGTTTTGTTCAATTATTAAAAAAAAATTAAAAGAACTTTTTCGGTCACCAATTAGATTAAAAAATCGAAAAATAAGATCTTTTGATATTTTTATACCTGACAATATATATGGTAGAAAACATAAGCCGTACAAATTTAAAAAAATGATATCGTTTTGTTGTAATTTGAAAAAATCGTATGTCTCGTTTATTTCGATTTTTCCCAATTATTATGAAAAATGCTTAACATCTAAAAAAAAAAACGACTTCCTCCGTCAGTGGCAATATATTATAAGGAAAAATATTAATATCTTGAGTTTTTTGAATTGGAGTAATATATCTGGCACGCCGTAAATATTTGACGTTTTATCTATAATTTTCTTTCGGATTTTTCCCAATTATATCGAAAACCCCTTGGAAAATCAAAAAATCCTCAATACACCGACGATTCTGATCAAGTGTTTCACCAACACGTTCTAGAACCGCATTAAAAAGTTACGACGCGTAACGATTTTGAATTATTATTTCAATAAAAATAGTTTTAAATATTTTACATTAACGCATTCGCTGTTAAAAGTATTCAGCTTAGAGAATTGACAACTTAAAACTGTTGTATGAATATAAACGTTTATTTAATATCGTGCATAAAAACGTTTCGTATCAATATGGTGCAGCTTAAAGAATTCTTGAAATATCTATACTTATGAAAAAGTTTTAAAATATTTTTTTTTTTCTTAACATAGGTCGATTAAACTTCATGCATTAAATTTAAATAATATTTATTCAATATTATTTTCGAAAACATTTATCCTTCCCAAAATATTATAATCCTATACCTATCTCCATTTTCTTTGAAATACGATCTATGTCGCGTAACTTTGAGTTTCATCTTCTCTCGCAAAATTATTATTTACGAATTTAAAATATAATTTATTTTAATATCTATCGAAAAACAAAATCTCGTTTTTCATTTGCGCGGCATTGAGTTACAATGAATATGATAACACGTTTTCTATATCCGTATAGTCAAGTTAATGTAAAACTAAAAGGGGAATAAACGTATTTAAATTTAAAGTATAATAATCACTATATATCTACACCTAGGCTTTAGTTTTTTCTTTCTTAAATAATACGATAACGACTATTATTATTGATCAGGCAATGCATCATAATTAGTTAGGTACGATTTCAAGAGATAAGAAGTACAGTTAAACAAAAATAGATTACCTATCAAATATATATATATATTTTCCTTTAACGATGACAGTTTTAAAACTCAACAAATAGATTATAAATACGTCAATTGGCCCGTATTATATTGAGTCTAGGATGATAAAATTTCGTATTTATACTTATTTCCCAACGTTTACAACCCTTCTGCAGCCCGTGTCGTAGTGCAAACGAGTCGGATTCCTTCGAACCCTACTTGATCTCATCCTTTTAGTTTAATTCCATCACCGACGTCGGACGTCCTGTATAGCACTGCTCCGTTCTCACGACCTTGTAAAAATGGATTTTTGTTTCTTTACAACCGAGAACCCCCAAGCACACGATGGTAGTTTCGCGTGTTAAACCGCTGTATAAATAATTATAATACGCGCACGTGTTGCCCGCAAGCTTATTAACTTTAAAAATATATTAAAAATATCGTATATAATGATCGCATTAAACGCATTAAACGTATTAAACTGTTGCAAGTATTTATGTGACGTAAATCCGAATAATCCGGATTGCGGACTTCAAAATACGAGAATTCCAATTCAAAATTTCAACATTTGGAATTACGATTGGTTTTGGGATTGTATGAAAAATACTTAAAAGTATCCAAAATCAAAGTATAAGTATCCAAAATTCCGATTTTAAATAAATTACGGCGTTGAAATGTATTAAAACTAATAGGTACTTAATTTATTTATGGAATTTTTAGTATAGGTTGCACGTGAAAATCAAAAGTAGGCACTCGTTTCACAGACAAACATATGGGTGAACATAAATAATTTAAGCGTAACATTTTAGAGCTGCTTATTTCTTTAATTATAAAAGTAAAAAAAAAAACCATTGTTGAAAAAAGTCAATACTATTCGAAATATCGAATGTAACTACTCAAATGGATCACTCTGTATGTATATACAAGATACAAAATACGTTGCAATCGTATTTATTTTCTAGGAAAATTCTACAAAAATAATTTATTATTATTTAATTTGGTTGTCACGGACAACGAAGTAAGTATCCCTTTTAAAAGATAAATTGCTGGACATCAAAGATTCACTGTAGAAACAGGGTTCAATTGAATTTCTTTTACTGATATCTGTTTTTGAAAGGGTTGGGCCCAAAATATACCGGGTAATTTTGATAGTCATTTTATACAATACGAGTTCGATACACTTACTATTGGTCAATAAACTCGACGATCCTCATTACTATATAAACGTAGGAGTACTTTAGGGGAATTGAAATTTCGATGGGGTGTGTATACGGGATGATTTACTAAATGTGCTCACACCATTTTTTTTTTGGTTAAATTTTATGTATATTTAAATTCTGATTTTTGGAATTTTTAAGTGTATTCTTGTTTTAAAGCCGATATTTTCGAATACATAGATTTTTCACAACATTTAAAGAGAATCCTGTGGCGATAACAATCTTGGTTTTTCAAATGAGAACCTATATTAATCATTACATAAATAAATGGAGTATTATTTTTAATAAATTTGGTGTTAAACTTTTTGACTTTCGTCAATCCGTTAACGAGATATTCCACTTTTAAATTAACGAAAAAGAGGAGTAGGAGTATTATTTGTGTGGTGGCACGGTGCGCGGCGTTTTATTCTACCCTTTCCTAAACTTATAAATAGAATATTTCTTTAGAATAGGTTGTCCTTTAAAAAATCAAATTTTGTATAACTACAGGATATTCCTTAAATATTATGAAAAATCTAAGAGTTCAAAATATCGACTTTAACTACACTTAAAAATTCTAAAAATCAGAATTTGTACAAATTCATCTTTTAAGGGAGTAAATCACAGCGCAGGAAATTTGTCTGTAAAATCCAAAAAATGGCAATTTTAAATTCGGAGTGATTGAGTGAAAACCAATAGATTCTATTAGATTCTATTGGTTTTACAGTGATGTGTTTTTTTTCTGTCTGTACACAACTTTTTGAAAAGTTAACGAAAACTTATTCTGGTGTATTAAGTGAATTCATCTTATCTGAAAAAAATGTTTATCTAGTTGATACATTAAATAGGTCATATTTTTTTCTCGAATAATTGGGAAAAACCGGAAACAAAATTATTGATACGTAAACGGAAAATATTTACGGCGTGTCGTGGCGTATCGATTTCATTGTTTTAAATTTTTACGCATTATGTTTTCTACTAGAAATATTGCTCCAATAAAAAAACAACAAGAGACCTTTTTTTTATTGAATTTTTAATCTAGTAGTAGAGTAATAAAATTGGTTTTTGATTTTCTTCGTAATTTTTTTTAATAATTGAACAAAACCGAAAAAAGACGTAGAAAGAACAAGAAAGATTACGAAAATAATGTTTTTATTTTGCTTATAGATGTAAATTAAATAACTTTATTTATTCTACCTTCCCAACTTCCTATTTACAACAGTGAAGCACCCGTCCACAATATTAGCTCTTTTTCTTTTTAATCTTAGGTTACCACGGTGACAATGATGAATTCTAACGGTTATTATTATTTGTATTATTTAATTTGGTCTTCACGGGCGAGAAATGTCCTCCCCTGAAAATCCATGCATTCTCATAACACGCCGGATGGTAGTAATTTTATAACGGATCATTGTACAATAATTTTGTTCGGGTAGAAACTGATGTCTGGTACCGACAACTTACACATTACAATGTAGAGGCATACTTCCGAAGTGTGTGTTTCGTTTTGTTACTCGCGGTTTACGAAACGCCATCGTATATTATATTTAACGCACTGCTTAAACCCGTTATGTCATCGCCCACGGAAGAGTAAGTAGACTCTTATAACGAATTAATATAAGTACCTAGTGTGTGCACCTGAAAATTACATATTTTGAATCATTTATCGAGTTACAACCGTTCCCAGACTTCATTCGGATACCATTGTAATTTTTGTAACTGTACACCTGTGCACGTTTCAAAATCGTACCTTTTATACGAATGCTCAACGACTTAAGTTTGTTATAATAATAATAATAATAATAATAACGTTACCCAGAGGTGGAACCGGAACAAAATTCAGCCCGGGAGATTAAAATATATCTAGGCCACCTAATAAAATACGTAACTACTAAACAATATTTATCTCGCGTTTTAATTTAAATCAGTGGCCAAGTCTGGATATTGAATTTAAGAGAGCTAAATAGTTTTTTGTTTAAGGGAAAATAAAAAGGAGAGGAGTTTCGACCCCCCAACAAATTTAGAAAAGTGATTTCATCAATATTCATATTTTTAATGTAATATTTTAAACGAACATTTATATAAAAAATCTTAATAGGTACCAAAATAAGAATATAATGTGTCTTAACTAGTGCTGCGTGATTATTCGTTATTTTTATAAATAATTAATCTAATCGAGGCCGATTATTAACATATTAATAATTGCGTCGATTATTATCAATGAATAATGTAGACGAAATATAAAAAGATTTGATTTTATTGTACGGGTCCCAATAATTTCATAAGCCTTGAGTCTCTGAAAAGTTAATAACTTGCTTTGCCGAAAACGGTTTTAAGCCAGGCCCACACGACTCGCGTATTTGCGAAGTTTATACGATGTTTGCAATTATGTACATGATTATATTTTATGTATCGATTAGAATCTATTATTTAATTTATGTCGATTATAATCGAATTATCGAAAAGTGATTATATCGATTATATAATCGGTAAAATGTTGTATGTATCGATAATTTGAAAAAATAATAATCGACGAGCCCTAGTCTTGCAATAACTTTTTACCAAGTTTTTAAACAATACGAGTAAGTAAAATATTATGCACACATATAAGGCCATCAGGCTATAATATGATCCACGTTGTTTTGAAAATTGGCATTTCTAGACCGGCGACTCTACTTCTGATATTGCATTATATATAACATCGATATACGTCTATTAATTCAATGAATCAACTTCATAACTAGATAGGACTAAACTATGATGAATTTAATATTATACCGTCGAAATAAATGTACAACTGGTTATAAAACAACAAATTAAAAATGCAAATTAGTAAAATATTTATATAGGTAGAAAACAAATACGATAAAGATTAACGAAGTATAAAACAGAGAGGCATTTGTCAAGACGTCAAGTTGATTATACTCAAAACTAACGCGTATAATATAATAGTATGAAATAATGTCAACGTCATTGCAATTATTTCTAGATTATTCGTTTTAAAATTTAATACGTACACTCGGCAGCTGTATAAATAAATTTGAATATAAAATTCAACAACTTTTTCTTTTTTTATTTATATTTATATAAAGGCATACAATTATAAACATTATAAAATAATATTGTGTATTATTTTAATCTAAAAGTTGAAATTAAAAAAATGATGGCGCGAAAAACAAGAGAGGAATATTATAACCGGAAACCGGATGTCAAAAATAATTTATTTTAACGGGAAGGCCAATTACTACAATATTATAGGAGCGTATTAGCACATCCCGGAATCTCGTGTAAATCCCATGCGAAACTCGTAAACTTTTCAATGTTTAACAGCCCGTTTCAATAGATAAAGACTGCAGATATTTGAAAAGTAATCACACTCGTTACTACTCAACATCAGAGGAATACAATATGCGTTCGAAAAGCGCACTTACACACTTACACTTACACTGATATTGAATTTCGTTTATTTTGTAAAATCCTGCGGCATTTGAGGCGTTCGAGACATAGGCAATTACTTATTCATCTTCTTTTTCTTAACAGCTTAGCGGACCATGTAGACCCATCGCTTCCACCGCTTTAACTAATCATTCTATCGGTCCTTATCATTCGCGTCCTCTAATTGTATATTTTCATTGACCATTGCTGGATCTTTCTCTGTTTAACGCTTTTCGCTTCTGCCGCGTGTTATTTTTCCAGGCCATTTTCAAAACGAGTTTCAGGACAGTCTCGAATAATGTGTCTCATAGTTTGTATGCTCCTACATTCATAGTATTGTGTATCACATATGAAGTAAGTATTGGTATCGACTTTTGTCTGTTCCAAACCGATTTTGTGCGGTCTACAAGGATCTTGGAAAATTGAACCTTGGGACTCTGTAATATTGTTCGTTTATTAACTCAGCGTTCTTTACACCCGAGTGTCATGGCAGATGTGCAGACCACCTGTGCGTTTCTCCCTCAGTTCGTGCTATCAGATTACCTATATTATTTCTAGTTTTTATTTAATTTTTGACTCTTTTAACATATTACTCAAATGTTAGAAACCTATCAAATTTGAATCCTAGAAAACTGCAGGGCGTCTCATCGTTTGGTACTGCTGATCCTTCAATATTCCCATTTAATCGTCTCTTTCTTTTCTTGTTATTTTGATAAATAATTATAGTAATTGACTTAATGATTTATCAGAGTTAAATTGTAAGTACCAATCATAACCTGAATAATAACTGTTAACTAAAAATTAGGTTTTATTTTTGAACAAATCAACATTATTAAAATTATTAAAAAAAAATAACACTATCATTTTATAAATAATGTACTCTTTTTTTAATAAATTTGAGCTAGTTTAAAGTTTTGGAACTTGAATCTTGAACTATTTCATTTTTAAAAAGAACTTTCAAATCACCAATTTTTTTTTTATTATTATCTTAAGGCTTCGCTTTGTTGCTGTAACCAATCCTTTCTTTTATTTGCTAATCTTTTAATTTCTTCATAACTAGCTAGAGATAGTAGTTTCTTCATATTCCCCAGATTTTTTTTCCTCGGCGCCATTCCAAAAAACTTAGTTTTTCCTATTTCCATCGTACTATCCTAGTCAGATTTTCATTCCGAAAGAGTGTTAGCGTTGTAAATCGGAGCAAAGGGTCTGGTAGAAAAGTTGTTCATAGAAAAAATAAAAAAAACATCCTGATTTGAAAGGCCGGAATATTTACGATTTTCGTCGAAATTTTATCTTAAAACTATTAAAAAAAAAAAAAATGATTACGTTACGCTCAATTAAATTTTTTTCTACCAGTAAGAACAACTCATAATGAGCCTCCTGTTAAATTTATATGTATTTCTGTTTGGTCGAATTAAAATAATATGTGAAAAAACCCACAAACATAAAATGCTTATAAATAGCTCATAAAACGCCAAAATTGTGTGTAATTTTTGCCGCGCCTATTAAAGGCCAATATAAGATTTCCGTCTAAATTTCAAGTTTCTACGAAAAATTTTAACCGAATTACTAAACAAGAAAAAGAGAAAATAATTGAAAATAATGAACCCATCGTTATTATATTTCTTTTGCGGCTCTTTCTATACGTTTATTTCCGGCATTATTGTTCGACTATTAAGGAAACTACAGTAAAACGACCGGTTATTGTTAACCAACTAGATTAAAAATGTCGCGCAAACGGTCTCTTGTCGTTTTTTTTTTTTTTTTGATCGGAGCAAGATTTTCCGGTAATTGGTCGGACAAAAAAAAAAAAAAAAAATCGAAAAAAAAAACAACAAGAAAATACGCGCATCACAGTGAAAACCAATAGATCCTTCGCTCGGCTCCTTTGCCGAAACTAGCGGATTTTCGCCCATTGTTGTCGTGCGTTTTTCCGGCATTAACGTTTTATGTATACCGCTGCTATTATATTGTACTGTACACAGTAAACTTTCGGACGCAAGATGAAAAGAAAAAAAAAAATAGATTGAGTGTTTTGTATAGGTAGATCTATATATATATTTATGTGTATGTATATAATATAAAGACGTCGTCGTGTTTCGGACGCATTCTTTTGACAAAAAAAAAAAATAAAAAAAATAAAAAAAAAAAATAATAATAATAAAAACGTCGTCCACTTTATTCGGCGGCGGCGCCCCCGTTGTTTATTCACTCGGCGGGTAAAACGCGTACATAATATATACGTACGCGCGCACACCTATAACGGCGCACAAAAGGAATTCGCCGGTTCGCCGCAAAAACGCTCTTTCAATTACCGCCGGCCCATTGGTTCGCATTGTATAAATGCCGGGGTTTTTCCGCGCATTCAAAAGGCTTAATTCCGCCACGTTTTCGGCGGTTTATCGGCAGTGCGACACAACTGTCGCCGCCGCCGCAGCCGCAATAATAACGGAACAAAAGCCCGAGCACAGCTCACAGCCGCCGTCCGCAGGCGGTCCCGGCGGCGGCGGCGGCGGCGGCTGTGATTTAAAAACGGGAACTTATAAATACCGTCGCGTCGACGGCGCGGGGTTTTTGACTAATGGGCCCGCCGCCCGGGGGCCAAAAGAGACAAATGGTTTCGAACGTCGACAGGTGTAATTTGTCACAATCCACTCCCGGCGGTTTCTCTCCGCGGCCCCGTCTACTACTTATATACTAATGCACGGTCGCGGCGGCGGCGGCGGCGGCCAGGACGTCTTGGCCGCGTCAATCGTTTTCGTTGTCCGCCGCGTTCGCGTCGCGTCTCCGGTGCCGCGCGCAATACGTTTGAATCCCGCGTAACGCTATTAATATAATATTACTAGGCCTCTCGGGGACAACTCCGGATCTAGAAAAACATTTTATACAAATAAGCTTTGAAAAACAATCGAATATGCACTAGGTTGTTTTTTTTTTTTTTTTTTTTTAATTTAGCTTTAATTACTATGCAAAATTAAGCATGTAGAATTTGGTATTCGTTTGTTATCGCTCCGTCAGTACACCGTATAAAATTTATCTTCCCGCCACTCTTTTTTGTAATCGCCCCGCCGTATAGTTGTATTAGTGTGATGTTATTGTTCCTGCAATAAGTTGTCGTGTTTAGCTCCTGATAGATGATCTATTTCAAGAAATATTTTAGGAAACCTCTACATTTTGTATCATAAGTAGGTTAAGTATCATATCATTAGTACGTTGCTGGCTTCCGTTATTAAATTACCTACTTCGCTCAAATCGATACGAAAAATTAAATTTAATACGAAAAAATGAATTTTAGTGAACTAATCACGGTTGTTTTCAACAATGATAGTGGAATGAAATTTTTACAAAAAGATAATGCAATTAAAGTTAGTGGAATGTGTGAAGATATAATGTTTATTAAAGGATCGCGATGGCGGTGTCAGAAAAAGAATTAATAATTGGCCGACTAGTTCTAGACAACCAATACACGCAATTGTCCATTTCATATGCTACTGGGCCCGAGAAATGTCTTCAGTAACATTTTGTAAACGTGAACTTAAAATTGGGCAAAATGATGTGGTCGATTGGAGTAATTATCTACGTGAGGTATGTGTATGGAAGTTAGAAAATAATCAAAATAAACAAATTGTTTGTCCCGGTCTTTTTGTCAAAATGGATGAAAGTTTATTTGTTTGGATTTTTGGAGGAATTCATCGGGAAACCAAAGCGTGTTTTATAATTTGTGTATCAGATCGATCGGAGAAAACATTGTTACCTATAATACAAAAAAATATAAGATCAGACTCAATAATTATGTCAGATTGTTGGAAAGCTTACAATAATTTGCAGCAAGCGGGTTTCCAACGTAATACTGTTAATCACACCTATAATTTTGTTGATCTGGACACAGGGGCACACATCTGAAACATCGAGAGTTTGTGGGAATATTGCTCAATGGGGAAATTAAAAGCGTCGTGAAACTAATAGAAATTTTATGGAATCGTATTTGGCAGAATTTATGTGGAGATCATGTGGAACAAGATGCATTTAAAACTATCTTAAAAGATATTTCTGAGTTCTGGTCTCCATTGTAGTATTTTTTTTTCTATTATAATTATAATACATTTTTTTAATTCAAGTTTTATACATAAAATAATATTAAATATTGAAATATTTTTTTTTTTAAATTTATAAATACAATATATTTTTTCTATTGTTCTTGTTTATTTTATTATATATATTTTGTTTGTGGCGGGGCGATAACATACAAGTACCTAGAATTTAATCGTAATTAAATGTGTGCATTTGAAAAAAAATTTAAAAACTCATTTTATATTATTTTTAGACGAAACTAGTCAATTTTCTTGGTAATAAGAAACTGTTTAATTTAAACTTTTATTAAACTTCAAATTATTAATATTTTTCTTTGTTGTTGGATAAAAATTAAAACGAAATTTCTATTGTCTATCATAGTGTTTTGTTCTAATCGTTTATCGTTTTCTGATATCCACTTCAATTGGTTTTTGTATCGTTTAACATTATAATAATAGCGTTTTAAAAACGATTTTAAGTCCTGATTTGAACAATCGAAATCGAAAAACGCGTTTATAATAAGATAAGATACGAGTGCAGTATGTCCCTTTATAGCACTTAAAATTTACATACTGCTAAAATATGCTCTAAACATCAAAAACTGTAAAATATACATTTAATAATACATATATTTGTCAAATTATATTATAATATATGACAAATAAAATTTAGGATTTAGATTCCTTACATGACGAGCAGTATTTATGTTCGGCTCTGTTTTAGATTCTGATTGGAACGAGGAATGTATTGGTTTTATAATGATGTTTGTTTTTTTTTCTTTTTTTTTTTTTATGTAAACACTTTTTCTACCAGAAAGCATTCTCCGAATATCAAGCACCTTTCCTGAAAGAAAATTTTTTCTGAGTAGTTCTTTAGAGAGGTCATTTTTTGAAATTGACATTAATATTCGAGATAGTGAGGAAAACCTCGATCTTTAGATTAAAAAGATTGAAAAATTAAAAATAAGGTTGTCATTGGCAACCGTTTTTATTTATTTTTAGTTATTAAGTTTTTATTATATTAATCTTTTTTAAACAATTATTGTTGTCATGAAAACGCATATTATTGAAATCATTTTACCATAGTATCATATATTGTATTGTTGAGAAAGCAACATTATCAACTGAAATCGGCTCAGAATCGTTTTTCGTTAGGAATGGTTTATCGTTGCTTGCAGATATACATTAAATTTCTGTCTGTAGCTTACCTTCCCAACTTTCCACCTACAACAGTAGCTGCAGTAACGTGCGAAATATGCCTGTCTTTTTTTGTTTTTTTTTTTTTAATTTTTCAAACACAATATGTATAACATGCTAAAAGTTTCTAACTTTTATTATTATTGTACATTAATAGCGTTTTCGATTTGAAGATTATTTTCATCAGAGCTCGCACACCTAATTCTACACGATTTTTGCAGATTAGAAAATGTGATTTATCGGGGTTTACCGCGGACAATATTACGGAATTTTACAAAAAAAAAAAAAAATAAAATAATAACAATAATAAAAACGTTGAAACCTCAATACTCGGTTACGGAGTGGTTATTTGATAATAAATACACGGATAGGCTACATATAAACACAATACGGGTGTCGGTTTTCCGTGGAAGAGAGACAGAATATTATCAATTGTTTTCTCTCCCTTGCTATTAATGCTTGGGGTGCCGTATTTATTAATTGTATTATTATATTACCACTTGATGGGCGCCAATATTGCCTATTCATATATTTATTATCTATGGTGGATCGTTGCATTGTGCGAAGCGTGGGCAGTGTCGAAACCGATGGTGGACAAAAGAGAAATAAAGGTTTTCGAAACTCGGCGCCGACGACGGTTATTGAAGATCTCTTGAACAGAAATGGTGTCAAATGGGGGAAGTGTACCGTTGTATTACGATAAACTATAGTACACCGTGGAAGACAATCGCGGAAAGAAGAAACGAATGGATAGGACATTACATATAAGGAACAATACACGTGGATAACCACAATAATGGAAGGGAAAATCAAAAGGAAACCGGGGAAAGGCATTCATTTATGAGACAAATTATGTTGGATATATATATATATATATAAGAAAAGGATTCTACAAAGGAAGTCGCTACGGGTAAATAATTAATAGTGAACGGGAACGTTGTTCCACCATTCTACAGACGGATAAAAAAATACGGAAAAGTAAAAATACCTATCTATTGTTTTGATTTGTTTTTATTTTCATCTACCTGTATTGCAGAAAGATCAATTTTAAGAAAAAGTGTATAGAGACAATTTATTTAGGAGACAATCAAAAGATCCAAAAAAGTAAAATATGACTAAAAATAAACATTTTCGTTTGTTCGTAAAACTTTGAGCTTTCATCCCGAAATGTTCGAAATTAACGTTCGCTCTATTAATCAAGATCCAGTCGAGCTCAAATTTTACAAACAATATTTTTATGCGTTTTCCGGCTGGCACTACTAAAAAATTACCAAAACATTTTATTTTCATATAAATAACGGGTACCTTACTGTATATTATTAGGTACTAACAGGTTACCGGGCGCATAATTCCAAAGCCTCTAAGTCCCAGCGCTATATCCGAGAACGTTGCTAGAATTGACTGACCTGAGGACATTCACTATTTGAAATAGTTATTTTATTATTAAACAATCACGCGGTTATGGTGTTCTGGCGAATTCGTACAGCATATGATGTATGAATTTCGTATGTTTATGTTCGAACCCGACAGTTGAAAAAAAAAAATATGCGGTTTTTCTCTGTTACCTAACCGAAATGGTTTTGCATAACAAATCCGGATTTATTTTCGATTGAAATTCCGAAGCGAAACGAGTGAATGAAAGTGGCCAAAGGCCACAAGACTAAGCAATTTTACTACTATTATAATTATAATACTGATATGCTACCGCCAGATATAAGACGAGAAGAAACACACAAGAAATAATGGAATAAATATCTAGGGAACTCTTGTCTTCCAATCTAATTAAATATATTAACTTCTTTCTGTACATGATACTACAATCGAAAAACCTGACATGGAACGGGATAGCAAATGCCAATATATCCCAAGTAACAAATAAATTGACTGAAAAATGAAAGGAAAAGGTATTAAAAAATAATTACGAATAGTCATGAAAACAATGGATACTTCTGAATAGATCTCGACTGAGTCAAGAACTTTGTTCGTACCTCATGAGTAAATGAGAATTAACGAAGTTAAGAAGCTGTGAAATTCGATGGCACATATCATGGAGTTGCGCCCTTTGTATTCATTCAGAGTGGGAATCGCTTAATCTTCATAATTTTGTAGATGAAGCTACAGAATGGGTTGGTTAAGCTACCACTGAGTTGATAATTCCATATAATTTATACAAAAATAAATAAATAAACCACTGTATTTATTCGTTAATAATAATATTGTTAACGTTGTCGTTATTATTACTTAATTTGATCCGTTTTGTTTTGTTTTATTTATACTTAGTTGTATGATATCGTTATGCATAATAAGCTATAAGTTAATACGCTTAATACGCTTAATACGCTTAATACGGCTTAATACGCTTAATAAAAACACGGTATTTTATATCGGCCAATCAGAAATCGCATTTTAAAACTCTCCGCCCGCAGGAAATTTATCAGTCGAATTTGTTTAGTTATTTAATTTCCCCCTCCCTTAACACTAGGAAGGGGCATAGTAAAGTCAAACACCAAAATGAGTACTTAAAATAAAATTGTATTTGAAATTTTAAAGTCCGGGGGAACGGATACCCCGTCTTGCCACCTCTCTCCTCAGGGTGCCCATGAAACCACCTAATAAGAGGAGCAGTGCATTTGGACACGGCGTTGAGCGTCTGGAGGGGGGCGGCGATATTATAATGGTTTCGCAGATACGTATACCGGGCGTTTTACGAATAATCAGTGTCCGGCTATTAAAATAGGTAATAGCATTACAATTTAGTCCAATAGAAATACCGGAGATTCGACCGACTCTGCGCGCGTTAAGCTTCGGCCGTCGGCTTTATACACGGATATAATAACGCGGGCTCCGGTTATTTACTGCGGGCCACATAATATTATTATGAATTAATGGCGTTATGAATTAAAATAGGCACCAGGTAAATAAAACGCGCCGCGGCTTGTATAATTATTAAATACACATTAGTATATACAGTGGCATTACGCCCTGTTTCGGGTTTAAATCCGCATTAAGTAGGTACGTTTTATAAATGGCGGCGTGCAGACATTAATGCGGAGAATATTACAACTTTCGCGTGACGAAAAAAAACGAAAAATACGAGTGTGGAAGGGTGGGGGAGATTAGGCGTGGTCGGGTTAACTAAAAAGTTAACTCTCTCTCTCTCTCTCTCTCTCTTGCTTTCCCTTACTGGCACGCCGTACGATAATCCAATCGTGTTACTCGTACGATACGATTACGCGACTATGATATAAAATAACTTTATACTTGTACGACAAAAGTTTCGACAGCACGAAAAAAGATTCCCATAGCGCTACAGGGCGGTCCAATTTTATTCATTATTGAACATACCGTATGGAAAATTATTCAGTGTGAAATTTGCGTGTCGCGAGTCACGTGGTTCACAACAAATGTATTTTAGCCGAAGCAGTGTGATTTTTCTTTGGACGTTGAACCGCCAGCCGTGTATACGGATTTTGTATAAATTACCGTTGTCTCAATATTTGCTCGGTGTGAAGTCTAGGCAACATAAAAATGCATAGGTATATAGATTATAAATATTATTAGAAAGAAAATCGCATCTAGTCGTCTATCTAATTTAACAGGAGGTTCATTGTTAAGTCATACTTATAGTGGTAAAAAAAAAAAAATTGACTGTGAGTTGTATTTTGTTGTTTTTTTTTTATAAGAGTTTTCGTTCCTAATCATTTTTCGTTAGCAATGGTTTATCTTTGTTTACAGATATACATTAAATTCCCTTCTATATGCCACCTACACAACTTCTCACCTACATCAGTGGCCCGACCATCGTGCGAAGTATGTCCGTCTTTTTTTTTTTTTACTATTACTGATTTGTATTCCAAAAGAATTAAGCAAAATATTCTACTAATATTCCCGGAGATAAAAACGTATCTCGCATTTTCGCGGTGTCGAAGAAAATTGTCTGATAACGTTTCAACGAAATTATTATAGTTTTTTTTTTTTTGTTCTCGGTGTTTACAATAATATTAAAGCTGCCGTAATCCATAGTAGTAGTCAACATAATTTTATATTGTTTTTTTAAAGGCGTTTTCATACTCAGTCAAAGCCGACAAAATGAGGTATCTATTTTCAAGAAAAAGTTTTCCGCTTCCGACGAACCGTTAATTCACAAGCGTGCATATAGTGTTGACACGCTGTTATTTTTCGGGATGGATTTGCGTTTGATGACGGTAAGAACGCAATGCTATTAGCGAATCGTGTGAATCCGTTAGTTTTTAAACATTTGCTTTTTAAAATGCGCATTATTCGCGCGGGCCAATGAGCTTAAAGTAGTTATTTCCCATATTATTATTTTGACGGGTTGTTACCTGTTAATATTTTCGTGAACAAGAGTTATTTGTTTAAAACGATCAAATGTATAGAAAAAAAAAAAAATATATATATATAACTCTGCCGCAGTAGTATAGAGATGTTCTTCCGAAACACACACATACACACACATATGTATACACAGAGTGATTCTTTTATCATTGAACATTCATTATTTCGTAAAGTATTGATTTGAAATAAAAAAATTGTTTTGACACTTCAAAAAACGAGCACTTCTAAAATGTACAATTTCCATTATTATTTATCGTCCTTATTTTTGGGTTTGAATAATGCTCCACTATCCATTCCCTACCTAAAATTAAAAGTGGAATATCTCGTAAATGGATTGACGGAAATCAAAAATACCAACGCCAACATTTATTTCAATTAATACTCTATCCATCTATGGAACTTAAAATGTAAGTTACCATTTGAAAATAAACTGAACACAGTCGTTTCTCTCCCAAAAATAAAGATGAAAAAAAACAATGGAAACGTAACATTTGAGATCTGCTTGTTTCTTGAATTGTCAAAACCATTTTTTTCATAGTTTGAAAAAATCTACTAATATAATGAGTGTTATATATGAATAAATGAAATAATGGGTGTTCAAATAAAAGAATCACTCTGTATATATAGGTAATATTTCACGTCAGAAATATAATATTTTTCGTATTCCAGTGCGAAAACTTTTCCCCGCAGTGACTTTGGAAGTGTACGCTGTGCGTTTTCCGGTCAACGCACGACGGATTCTTGTGCTCATAGAAACATAATTTTATTCCGTTACCGTGGTAATAAACAACTGTGGTCTGTGAGAATTCGAAGAACTATAATATGAAACACACGTCTATATGTTTTATATACTCATGCTTACAAAGTTTCCGCACGAAAGCGAAATCGTACGCCTTAACTCGGCGTATTGCAGGACAGTTTTAAAAAAACTCGTGTCGTCGATTTTTGATTTTTTTCGTTTTGAATTTAAAATTAGTATTTGTTTTTCTCACGAAAAATGATTCTGACTAGAGTATTAGCATTAGTCGTATTTTCTACTTGTTGTTTCCCTGTATAAAAAATCTTCAAGAAAAATCAAATCAAAATTACTCTCTCGCTAACTAGATACACAATTCTACAAGAAATTTCTTATAAAGATTTGATTGGAGCTGGATTTCTGGTAGAAAAATTGTTAACAAAAAAAAAAAGAGCTGATACTGGGGATGGGAGCGTCCACTGTTATAGGTGAGAAGTTCTGGAGGTAGGATACATAAGGTTGTTTCATTTATATCTGTAATCAACGATAAACCGTTGCTTGACGAAAGACGGTTCCGAGCGCAGTTCGGTGATACATAATTTGAAATGTCTTTTTTGTTTTGCGATTTTCGTTTAAATTTGATTTCAAAACGCTAATTAAAAAAAAAAAGCCATCCGATGGTTTTAGCATTTCTAGGTAAGTCCAGTATAAGTATTATTACTAAGTTTCAAGTCTCTACGTGTATTTATAACCGAATTACAGCAATTACTCGCAAAAATTAAAATTTCTTATTGCGATGATACTGTAAGAAAGTAAATAAAAAAAGCAACAAAAAAGGTGTTTTGTGATATTTCGATAAAATCATTTTTTCCAGTAAAAAAAGTTGTCCGTGTTTTTATAAAGTAATAAAATTGTGAAATTGTGCGTTTTCTTACGTTTTTTCTCACTTAAGTGGTTTTATTTTATAATTGGCGTCGAAAATAAAAAAAAAATGATTTTTTTAAAGTACAATCTAGACAACTTAAGCTTTTATAAAAGGTGCTATACTTTTACATCGGAGCAAGTTTACTAGGAAAAACCGCGTCCACACAGACTAGTAGAAAAAAAAAAAAATAAACAGCATTGTAAAATCAACAGCTCCCTCGCTACGCTCGAAATCTAAAAAATAATAACACGCCATAATAATACCTATAGTAAGCCCAATGCATCTCGCTAATAATCTCGCTTCGCTTAGAATCTAAAATAAACGTTTAACGAATATTTACCGTATGCAAATCGCGAAAATCGGGAGCTTAAATTATTAATATAACGGTGGGATTATGTAATTATTATTATATACATATATATTGTATAATTTTGGCGAAATTATGATTTCGCATGCGAAGCCGACACCTCAAGTATGGCTTAACAATAATTATTATTCCAAATAGCGGTAATCGTCCGTTGAAAACGATTATTCAGTTCAATATTACAATTCACAATATTAAGTAATACAGGGTGTTTCATTAAGCATGTTCACCCCATTTTTACCGTTAAATTTTGCATGTTATGTTCGAATTCTGATTTTTGAAATGTTTAAGTGTAATCGAAGCCGATGTTTTTGAACACTTGAATTTTTTACAAAATTTAAGAAAATATCAACTTTGGTCGTTCAAATGAGAACCTACACGTTTTAATGCACATTGTAAATCAGATGGTTTTTCTGAACGTTTTAACGTATTGTAATCGAAATTTAAATGAAAAGTATCCGAGCTATTCTACTTTAAAATACTAATGATAAAAGTCTAGAAAACATCATTTGTGTGGGTGGCACAGCTGGTAGAGTTTTCATAGTGCTCTACTTCTCTGCCCTAAACTAAAAAGTGAAATATCTCGTCGACGGAAACCAAAAATGTTGACACCGAAATGTACTCAAACTAATACGCCATTTATTTATGAAATTTTTAACACATGTTCTCATTTGAAAGACCAAAGTTGATATTGCCACAGGACACACCTTATATATGTTCGAAAATATCAGCTTAAATGCACTTGAAAATTCAAAAATCAAAATTTTAATGTAAGCAAAATATACATTAATTATATACAGTGTGTCCGACGAAGACATGATCGTTGCGATATCTTGGAAAGTATTAACGTTTTGCTGGATTTTAGGAACAGATAACTCTAAAACGTTATGTTATAGCTATTGTTTTTTGTCAACCTTATTTTTGGGTGTGAACCGACTGGCTACTTTTGATTTTCCGTCCGGAAACCGACGCTAAAAATCCCACAAACGCACTGAGTATTAGTTTGAACATATTTTGGTGTTGACATTTTTGATTTCCGTCCACTCGTTGACGATATATTCCACTTTTAAGTGATAAAGCATCATTTAGGTGGCAGTAACGCGCACGGCGTTTGAATAGTTTTCCCCTACGCAAACTTAAAAGTGACACATCTTGTCAACGGATTGACGGAAATCAAACATTTCGACACCAAAAGGCGTCAAAACTAAATACACTAAATTAATAATCCTATTATTTAGGGTATTTTTAACTTGAAAATATTTGAAATTTTAAACCAATTGGTACTTTATTTATTTATGGAATTTTTGATATACGCTAACATTTTAAATCCAAATAGAAGGTAGTTGATTTCCGCCCGCAAAAATAAGGGCGATAAAAATTAATAGTAACGTACAATTTTAGAGTTTCTTTAAGACAAAAAAAAAAAATACGAAACGAGTTAATATTTTCCACGATATTGCAACGATCATAATGTTCTGGTGTACACCCAAACGTTCGTTGACTTTTATTGATACGCGGCTATAATATTCAAAATATTCGTGTCTAAAATAAATTATTGTCGATCGTTACATACTACCACGTGTTTTATCTCCTCTGTCTAACCGCGGGTATACGTTTGGTTTTCGATTTGCCGTCGAGGTTTCGAGGCACAAATTATTTCTGTTTGAACACGGTTCCGGTCAATGGCCGTCATTATGTATATGGTCCGACGATAAATTGATAACGTCGAAAAACATTGTGCGACAATTGATAGTGGGCGTCGATTTATAGCCAGTGGAAATATTATATCATAGCGATGACCCATTTTTTAAACAGCAATTAAAAATACGAATAAAAATGCTGTAAAATAAAATATTAATATTATATCGGTGAACAGTGATACTTTTATATAGGGGATCGGTGACGGTGATATAATATATTTTAGTCGATTCAAACCTATAAACTATAAACTAGAGGAAACCGCGGAAATCGTGTCCGAAGAATTTCAATTTCGAAAATCATGATTTGTGGGGTTCTTCGCTAGAATAAGCCAGAAATATAAATTTAATTATTTTACTGGAAATTCGTAATAAAAAATCAATTGTATTTTGGAAAATGTTCATTGAGTATTTTGTCTTTTTTTTTTTTATAAAAAATAGATTTAAAATGAAAATCACAGTAAAGAACGCAAATAATCATAATCCGTTATCAAAATTCAAATCAGCCAGCCACCAGTTTTTTTTTTTTGACATTAGGTCCAAATATAATTTTTTTTTCTAATGAAATATATATATTAGCATATTCACAGCGTAAACTATTGTATTTTGATGTTTCGTGTTACAAAACTATTCATTAATCGTTAGAACATCTCAAAGACAATAGCGTGATAGTTTTATTTTATACTTTACATACTTAATCAAAACTAGTTTTACTAAAAAAGAAATTATTTAATATGGCTTATTATTATACATAATCAGAGTCTTTTACTTTGTTTACAGGCGTACACATGAAATGTTTATAAACATGTAGTTTATGTGATGTGTGGGAGAAAACCATTTCGAAATTCTTAACGACCCCGCGGGTTTCTTGAAAGTTTACCAGTGCCCCCTCTCCACTTTGGAGTAGTTTTCGTTGTTTTAACTATAGGATACAATATTAAGATGTATACCATAAAGAATACTGTATTCGTATACGTTTTATTCAAAATATAATTACGATTTATACATAGACAGAAAAAAAAAAATCTACAATAAATATAAAACCGAAATAAAGAATGTTATTTACAATATTACACTGTTGTATAATTTATACGCGGACAAATAACTAAACCTAGACGCAGCGGTACGACCAGCGGCGAAGGGGTTAATCATTTAGAACCATTTTTTGATTTATCGTTGCATTCAGACGTAAGTACAATATAAACTAAAAATACCATATGTTCCAATTTTCTCTCTTACCCACAACAGTGACCTGCCCACGGTACGAAATAAGTCCGGCTATTGTGCGTGTTTGTCTGTTCTTCTTCATCGCCTTCGCCTTCGTCCCAGCTATTTGGAATCGGCCACCTTCGTTCTAAACTTATGTTTGATCTGCAACATAATTCTCACGTATGGGTACCGGCCGTCCTCGTATCGTTCTCAATCGCTTCCAACCATCTCTCTTTAGGCCTTCCTTTTCTCCTAACGTTGATTTTCATTATAATTCTTACATTGTTTCAGATTCCACTCTCCTCGCGATAGGCCCAAACCATCTTTGCAGTCTATTTTTCTCTCATTATGTCAACTGTCGAAGCCGCAACACACGAGCTCTTATATGTACTCGTTCCTAATCTTATCCACTCTCGTCACTCCGCCCATTCACCCATAAGCTTTCTCGTCCGCTGTTTTAATTTCTGTCTACCGTGCGACACTCCGAACCATAGTCGGTCTCGTCACACTCTCGGTAGATCTATCTTCAAGTCTGCCATTGGAATACTTTTGTCGCGTAAAACACCCGGCGCTTCTTTCTACTTGGGCCGACCACACGCGCTGTTTTTCGTTTCATTTAATGGTTTTTATTAAACACTACTGTCCGCCTTACAATTCGCCCCTGACCCCGCGGTCGCGCCACTACTTACATACATACGTTTCAATAACTTCAATGTTATCACGTGCGTGCGTAATAGGAACCCGACCGTCAAATATTCAGATAGATATTTACCGCGTACTTACGCGACAGAAAAACCGCTTGGTCGCGGAGACTTGAAATTTTAAACTAGGGCTGGTGGTATGTTCAGTATACCAAAAAAATACCGACAGTCGGAATTATATAAAATCTACCGGTATGGATATCGCCAACGGCAGTACCGTATTTTCGGTATTCGTGGTAATTACCGTATCGTCGGTACTGCGATAATTACCGTACAATCGGTCACTTGTTATCAGGCAACAGGTAATCTGATTTATCGATCCTAATATCTTGATTAAAATAGATCGAAGAAATTATTATGAGTTTTACAAATGTTTTCTTTTTCTCATAGAAAACACCTATTCGACGGGAAATCAGTAAATTTACTCGAATTTGTCAGAAAATAACTTAAGATGCGGATTTTCTATTCGGCGGTACATTATAGTGAAATTTTTTTTTTTTTTTAGACTTTTAGTTATTATACGAGAAAAGTGCATAAAACGATTGTAAATGTTTAATGAATCGAGCTCCACTCAGAATCGGTTGGTTTTCTTGCGATGATTTATCGCCGCTTACACCGCGCTAACAGTAATCAAACCGCTTCCACGATTCCCGAAACAGTGAACCGCCCGCGGTGTGCGGAGTTTACTTTTTATTTTTTTAAAATTTTAATCGCACCCGAATGCTCGTACCGAACAACCGGTAAATACCGACGATGCCTAATATTCGGTGCATCGTTTATGCTAACCGGTCAACTGTAAAAACACCGGATACCGGTAGTGAAAATTTCAAATACCGCCAGCCCTACTTCGGAAACCGTCACCGCCCTCCACGCGGAATAGGACGACGGCGTTTCGTCCATAACGCGATACGGACATGCGTATCCGTATGCGATAACAAAACAAAATTGCCGACTGCTACGTCGAACTAATGAAGTTATTGTCGAAGCACCCGTACGCCCATATGTTCCGATAACAGTGGAATCTGTCTGCCCGCCGTTGTCACCGCGGTTGTCGTTTATATCACGCGGATATAACACAGTAATCCCAGCACGAAAGCGGACTGAAAACGCTCGCTAGCTTCGGATTAACGACGGCGGATCGAAAATGCGCGTCTTATCGTCCGGTCAGCAATAATGGTTTTTCGTATTATTGTAATGTCCACGTAAAACTGTAAAACGGCGGTCACGAAAATGCCGATTCCGGTTTTTACGGCTACACGGCTACGACGGGCGATATAATTGGTCTTCGTCGTTCGGAAAGGGTTTCGTCCACGGATTTTTCCACCCCGTCAGTGCCGTCGTCGTTGTTGTCGCACGCGAAATCGGACGACAACCAGTCGCTACTGGCCGGATACCCGAACATCGCTTGATACGGCGACATACCCGTAGCTGAGCGTGACAAAAAAAAAAAAAACCGTATTTTTATAACGTTTAAAATATAGACTTATATAGTAAATATAGAATTTACAAGGTATGTGAGAACCGTAAAAAATCAAAAACACAATAGTTCCCTGCGAAGTTACCGAGTGATTTCGGTTTTTTTTTTTAAATGACGAACCTTCCCCCTTTTTTTCGGGTTGCCAATTTTAGCAGTTAAACCTTTTACGTCGATGGTTTATGTCTAATAGGAAGAAAATTAGATTTTTTATTGTAAATTAAGAAAAAACATAAAAATACAATTTTACCATTGCATTGATAACACAATTACATTAATAATTATCGTTGCATATACTATCAAATAAAGCCGGTACTCCCCAAACACTTTGTTTAAATATCCGCCCATCAAGAAAATGCTGAATACGCCCCCATTAACGACGGTGAAACCGAGGGGAACATGGGGATATATTCCCTCTATTACCCCTCAATTTTCATAAATATTTTCAACAACATATTATATTGCATTACACCTTTATGGTTATAGAAAAAAAATTACGTAAATGATAATGCAGTTCTTAAAAAATATCCTTATCGTCCCCCCCACCACCCAATTCGATAACAAATTTGACCGCCACTGGCTCCTGCCACTGTTAACTATATAGTTAACGAACGAAACCCTGGGTTACTTGTATAGTGCCTATTTGTATTGTCTATTAAAATGCTTACTTCTGTTGATTATAATCGCCGGGGCAAATTAACCGAATTTACGAGACGTGCCAAAATTGTTTGTTTTGTATTCGATTATAGTTTTTGATATTTTAACGAAACGAATCGTTTAAATAACATCACCAGCTGACCCGGCAACGCTAGATGATAGTTCGAACAAAAGTAATAATAATAGTAACCCACGAATAAACAGAAATTAATCATTAAAAACGATTCGATTTCTGACACTTTCGGCACCCGAAAACACCTATTTCGCCCGTTTAGGAGTTGAATTTTCAAAAATCCCTTCTTAGCGGACGCCCGCGTCACAACAGCTGTCTTTATACGCCAAATTTCAGCCCGATCCGTCCGACGGTTCGGGCCGCGCGACGACGAATCAATGAGCCAGTCGGGACACGTTATTTTATATACACACACACACACATAAATAATACAAATCACAAATATCAAAGGTGTTGCCTTGTGAAAGCATGCATTTTGTATGCAACAGGAATTATAGTACGCGGTTGTATTTGCGTTGACACGGCGTTTCACTGTGCAAATATATCTTTGATTTAATTTTCGAAGGGGGGGGCTGCTAAAAATCGATACGCGTACCGGTGGCCTTTTTTTCTACTGACGCGGTTCCGGTCTAACGGATTTGCCAATAAAATACTGATAATCGAACGGTCACCCTCCACCCCCCCTCCGCCGGATTACTGAACTTTGTCGGTTATTGGCGACCGGAGTGCGTCCCGACTCGGTACAGTTATTTAATCGTATTCACATTTACCGCGACGAGTGTCGTGACATACCGGGATGTACGAGACAGTTTTTCTGGAGCTGCAGGAACTTTAACGCCAACGGCCAGTTGTCGCAGTTCCTGCGCAGCGTCCAGGCGTCCAGCATTTTCCGTATGCGCCCGTGGGCGTCCTCCGCCCGGCTCCGGTCGTATTCCGGTTCGGCGTACACGATTCCCGGTCGGTCGCACGTGGACCGGATGTGCTCGATGACCAGGTCTACGTACTCGCGTCCGCAGTGCGACTCCAGGGCGGCGGGCATGCCGAACGTCGCGTAGATGTCCAACAGGCTGCAGGCGATTTCTTCGGGCCGTACCGACTTGAGGGGCACCAGATGGACGAAATTGGTGGCGCGGTCCCGGTGGTCCATGACGAACCGGAAACCGTCGTACACGCGGGCCTGCATATCGATCAGCTCGATGCGGGCCCGAGAGCCGCAGAACGGAGGCCGCGGCGGCGGCGGCGGCGGGCGCTTCCTTTGCGCGTCGTCGCTGACCGCCGCCGCCGCCGCCGCCGCCGGTTTCCGGCGTCCGCGGCAGCGCGCGCACAGTTTCAGGTACGTCATCACCGACTCCTTGGTCACGTTACAGTAATTGGTCTTGAGCTCGGCGATCATGCGGTTCCGGCCGCCATGGCCGATGTCGCAGTGCGCCTTGTGCAGCACGTCGAACAGCTCGTCGTTGGTGACGTAGAACAGCGGGCGCTGTCGGTCGTCGGCCGCGCCGCGCGGCCTGACCAACCGTTCGCGGCCGTCCACGGTCAACACGTCGTACCTGCGGACCAGCCGGTAGTCGGACGTCGACTTTTTCTGGCCGGCCGTGCGCAGCGCGATTTTCGACCGTTTCAGCTGCTGCAACCGGCACCGGTACTCGTCCGCGCTCAGAAACGCCTTGTTGTCGTCGCGCTTCTGGCTGAGTATGGCCGCCACGGTCTCGTCGAATTTCGTTCGCATTTCCGCCGGGTCCGCCGCGCCGTGTTCGTGCATAACAATGTATTCGGGAAAACAACGACGTCGATATTACCTAGCGGCTGCTGCGGCGCGAGTCGAGTTAACGCCGTTGCTGTTGTTGTTGTTGTTGTTGTGGTCGTCGTCGTATACTACAGTACGCCTAATACGCGGGTCGTTATCGCACCGAGCGGAGTATTTTTTTCGTGTTTTTTTCGTCGCGTAAAAAACGAATAACAATACACTCGTAACGCGTGCCGGCCGCCGACCGTGCGGTGTGTGCTCGCGCGCGTCGTACGCGCGCAATACGCGTAATAACAGACGCGTCGAACGGTCGCGCCGGAGAACGACTGCGCGACGGGCCCCGCGCCACCGCTCGCCACTCGTAAACGTTGTTATCGACTGGCACCCGAGCGTTATCGGGTCGATACGAACCGCGGCAGTCGGTCGACCGGCCGATAATGACGACAAACAATAATAATCACCGACACGGTTATTGCGTACGCGCGTCACGATAACAATACCTGCACGCAGTACCGCGGCTCGCGGCGCAGAAACGCCGGCATGCCCGCCTGGCCGCGGATACCGGCCGGCGCTTACGTGACCGTTACGGCGGGCGCGCGCGTTAGACGGGAACAGCGGCGATAATAAGTGCGGCCGGACAGCGGCGGGGTGGGGGTTGGGGTGGGGGGGGGGGGGGGGGGTGCCGTGTGACGAAAACGGCGGGAGCCGAACATGTATTTTTACGTACTGTTATTCGCGCCGCGCGCGCGGGAACATGCGGCACGCCTACCGGATTCGTTTGGACGCCGAACGCGCGGCACGCGTCGCGGCGGTCAACGTTCACGCGATGGTTTCCTTATCGTCGCGGCTTGACGACAACAGCGTGATGACGTCGTACTTGGCGACGGGCGCGGCCGCCTACCGAACGGCGCGAACAGTGTGCTATTGTCCTACACGCGTGGCCGAACAGTTTTTGCATTCCGAGTGGAGCGAGGAACATACCGGTTTTACAACGGCGTTTGTTTTTTTATTTTCATATTTTTATCCCTGAATAACTTTTCTACCAGAAATTTCGCTCAGATTCCCAACGATAGCACTTTTTCTGAAATCGTTTAATGCGTATTATGCGCAATTATTCTACCGTAATGTGACGCATACGTCGTTGACAAATCAACGCTATCAACCGAACTCCGCTCAGAATCGTTTTTACGTTGGCAACGGTGAATCGTTGCTCGCGTCTAATTTTGACCACGTCCGTTTATATCCTGCCTTCCCGACATTCCACCGACAACAGTGGCTGCACCCAACGGGCCATCCCCGTTGTCTAAGGACAGCTTTTTCACTTTCTAGTAGTTTCTCTACTGCCGGACAGTCCGGACTGTCTAGTGCACAAGAACGCGCTGGGCGCCTTGCCACCCACACGGTGATAAGGTACGCGACCCGCTAATAAAACTCCAGATTCGTCACTGTTATGCGTCCTTACCGACGCATAACAGTGACGAATAATGACTGAACATATTTCGTTTTTCGTAGTCAACGGCTGTCGAACAGTTCGATATAGCGGCTGTTTGGTAATGCCTAGTCGAACTTCGGTGTATATTTCGGCCTAGCTCAGTGATAAATCAACACTCTTAAGTAGGACACTTCTTACTGTTCATAATTTTCCCGATCGGTTTCTTTAACGGTGTCAAAATGAAGTTTGGTTAAAGCGTTGCATTTTTGAAGCTCGCTGAAGAAAAACGGGACGGGAGAAATTGTGTTTTATGCAATGGCGTATCCAGGGGGCTGAGGGCGCTACAGCCTCTCCCGAAATGTCAGAAAATCTTAAATTGTTATTTCAAATATAGTGTGATATAATGTGATAAAGTAAAATTATACGTGATAATATGAAAGGTACGGAGAAAAATCCAGAAAAGTCGTTGTTTTTACAAAATGGCCATACCGGTATCGAACAACCTGAACTGATGTACTGTACATTTTGTACGATCGAACCGGCGAAAATCCGGATTAGTCGAATGTGATGAGTGCTAGAAGTGTAGGCCCGCAGGAAAACACGGACTAACTGATAGCTCGACAAATGTTGGGTATAGTCGCGGTTAATAATATAATACGACGTTATTAATTATGTTGTGGTTACTATATTACAAAAAAAAGTCTTACGTTTTGAAATTAAAATCATGTTATTTTCAAATTAAAAAAAAACAAAAAAAAAAACGACCTTTTTGGTTCTTTTCTTTGTACTCTTCATATGTAACTGATCAGACCCCCTACCCCTCAATAAAACGCCCGGCCACGGTACTGGCAAACAGGTATTACAGAACAATCGAAATACACCACAGTACGATAAAACACGTGCGATGAAATGATAACGAATGATAACAGTCCCGAGTGAAAAATGTATACATTGACTGCCGCTTTAATCCCGTTTAAGATGATATTACGTTCCGCACATTTCGGTGTCGTGTCGCGTTCTATATGCAGTGACGTGCACGGGTGAGAGAGGGGTTGGCGGGAGAGTTTAGATCGTTCACTCTACTGGCATACAAATACAATAAATATAATAATTGTTTGTTTGGTAATTCAATCGGTAAACTCACATATTTCATGCAAGTAGTGTCCGCAGGGCGAATGAAAGGTTATCGAGAATTTCAAAAGTTGAGATAAAAAAAAAAAAAAAACCTATTATACGATTAGCGATAATTTCGATAAGACGCGAGAGCCGGTGAACGATAGAGTCAAGTTCTGACTAAATTTGTACATGTATAATTTCTTTCTTTTTTTTTTTTTTTTATCTGTACTTACGCGTTAAACACAAACGCGGTCGACGAGTTTTCTACACGGAGAGCAATACTAAAAAATCAACAAAACTGAGTTTCTGACGTAAATATATTTTATGTATTTAGTACGTTGTCGTAAAAAATTGATAAAAGAAATCGAAATCAAATATGGACGAGTATTCTTCATCCACATTCGTTATAATTCGAATTTTTCGTTCAAGTAATAATTCGGAAAATACGACAAATCCGTGTGTATAGTTACCGTGGCTTTTTGAAAAACTTTCTTTTGTTTTTTCACCTAGTTGTTTAGTTTCTATGAATATTTTAACGAAAAGTCGATCGCATATATTATTTATTTAAAGCGTATAACAACCAAAAAACAATATTATCTATAAACGGGTAATAAACCCTATAGAGATGGGTGACCCCCAGAAATGCGATACTCTGAACACCGTTCTCGACGCTAATATTCGATTTACGATACATTTGTTTGAAAATAAAAAATAAAAACCAGATACAAATTTAATATGAATTTATTAATCGTCAACGGTGGACGTGAGCTGGTGAAAAGTTAGAGTTTAGTTAGTTTGTTTAAACTTTACAATTTGATAAAATAAAAAAATATAAATATTTATATTTAAGTGTATAGTTGTTTAAAACAAATTATTTTGTATGAATCAATTTTGTAGTGTTAGGGAATTAAATTTAATATGTTAGAGCCATTATAATGGGAGTACACTTTTAAACTCCGCTATCATTTTTGCTTTTTCAAATGTTTGCGAATGCTTTTTTCACAGATTTGTTGATGTTTCAGAGCGTCTTTTTGTGGATCATAGGAGAATAGAAATCCGGTCTCTAATTATGATAGCATATTAAAATACACTATTCGGAATTTAGACGTGAAATAGCATTGTGAAATAATAATAATAAAAAAAAAATCAATCTAATTTATCAAGTCGAACCCATTTCCGTTCACGACGCGGTTATCGCTTTTGATTTCGGCACAATGCGAAATCACAAAGAAAGCGATACCGAAAATCACCTCGATCGTTCGATACCGTTTGGCGTCTCGAAGGCATCCCCAGGTATCGATTCACGCGTCCCAATAAATAATGAAAATACGTTTTCGGTTTTCGCATAAACAGCCCAAAAGTCGCGTGCGGCCAACAAGTTTTATTCTGCTGACGTTGCTGTATTAATTTACTTAACTTTTCTTTTTTTTTTTTGCTGTTTTTTAGACATGGCCGTATAACGCACACAATCACGGCGTGAAAGAGTGTTCGTCACCGGAAGACGATTACAGATACGACTGCGGTTACAGTTCGACGCTGGAACAAAAATCGTATTCGGCTTACGACTGTCCTTACTACACCGCGTCGTCGATTAATTCGTGAATTTGTATTGAGCGTACACGCCTGTTTTGTATTTACAAGGAAAAAATGTCAAGTAAATTATAATTTTTCGGATGATATTTGTGTAATGTTTGCCGGTCGATACCTACATAATGGTAATAATATAATAGTTTTATGTTCCGCGACTCGTAAATTTAATAATCTAAAATATTTACGTTTAAAATTGTATACGTATTAATTATTTTAATTATACCGATGTGATCCGCAACGAAATTGTATTTATTTTTCCTCGGAGAATATTCAATTATTTGAGCAGATCTTTCGTGTGTTATATTTTATACCGGACGGGGTTTTAATACGTCCGGTTGGAAGGAGGGGAGGAAATAAGTAAACGGGCCTGTGTTTAAACGAGGATAAATATATAGAAACCTAATAAAATACTCGAGGGGAACGACGAAAACGTGTATCCCAAACCCCTTGGTTCGCGCCTTAGCGGGCCTAAGGCGCAAACCACGTGAACAACGGGAAAGTTTCGTCTGCCGCGTAAAAATAAAAAATATAATATAGAATAAGGGGCAGAGGTATCAAAAACTGTATTTATAATAGACTAAGTTTTTAAACTTTATAAAATATAGTCCAGTTACCGTTACCTATATTGGGTTCGGAGACGAAACGCAGTACATAAACGATTTTAAACATAGTCACAGGGTGGTCCGTGGTCAAGAAACAAAATTTACACATTCCGGGCTTTATTTAATTAAATTTTAACCAATGAGGCGTGAAAAATTGTCATTAAGTAGCCAATAAATCTGATCAAACGGCAACCACCAACTGTGATATTACTTACCATTACTGTCTTGGGTTCATAGGCGTGCGCAAGATTTTTTCGTGGAACAGAATAGGTTTAGTAGGAGAAGTCTTTAATATGGACGAGGATTCAGTCCTTTTACCTTTGGCCAAATTTTAATATTTGCCCCTTTTAGTTTTTTCTGTAATATTTAATAATAGAGCACGGGGACACTTGACTATAAACATGAATGATAGTGCTATTTAGATTTCCATTAAGTTTTAGCAAACAAATGTTTTTTCAATAGACTTTCTGATGGAAACTTCTACATATTTATGTTGTTTCTTTATGCAATAAAAGTAACGGTTGAAAACTAAAGTGCACTTTTATAATTTCTAAACATCTAGGTAGTAAATAAGTTCATAATAAAAATATTGATAACGGCCAACGAGTGTTGACGATTGAGATTTGTCAACAATTGGTATCGAAAAACATATTTGTAGTGATAAAATAATCTATGACCAATGTCGTTACCACATATATAATTTAACGTTTATGGTAGTTGATAAATGTGCGAGTAAATGACGTGTAGTGTAGCCGGTACATAAATATAATATAGATTGTAGATATTATATTCTATATTATGTATCAGTTCTAAATTCATTTGAATGTCCCTAAACACATTAGATAGCAAATCCGCTGGAGGGTGTCCCGCTGGAGGCTGGTTGATCATAAAACCATATGGATTTGTCCACGCCAAAAGTCACCGATTTGAATATTTGATAAAGTTAATTAATTTATCTTTCTTGTTCATCGTGAGTTTTTTGTGTATTTTAATCTTTAGAAGTTAAAAGTTTTAAAGTGCACAAATATTTACAATGTGGAAATCCGATTTATTCATATAGATTGTGAATATATACATAATTTAAATGTAAATGACGTACTGACTTCATTTTAAAAAATTAACACTTACTTTACTTAAACATAAATAATGAACTTAATGATTTATATTAATAGTTAATAGGATAATAATTGTGGCTACAAGTATTAACCGACACGTTCAAGCGTATTAACAAAAAAGGTATTCCTGGATTCCTATCATCCTATTAACACATTTATCAACATGGGAGTATATAATGCTCGCTGAAATTCCTCTCCATTATACAGTATCGGTTGAAATTCCACAGGTTCAAATATTGTAATTCGTATTTTGTTCTACCCGGACGATGCATTAAAGATAATAATTTGTACGGTAAAATTGATCAAAATTATATTACCAATGCTTTTTTTTTTTGCAATGTTACCGAACAAAACATAAAGTTTGACCATAATTCGTCGTTGAAATTTAATTTGATAAAATATAAACATTTGGAAATATTTTTAACGATATCGGAGAAGACAAATAACCAAAGTTAACAATTTCACATGTAAAAAAAAACAATATTAAGAATAATAAAACTTGCATAATAATTCTTTTAAAAATAGCGATATCCAGTAAAATAATGACATTGTAATATTACAATAACAAATAGTGTATCTTAAATTGTAAAAAAAAAAAAATTAAAAAAATTCAATACTTTCCGAGTTAATGAGTATGTATCGTACCCATTCTGTACGTTATTCTGTTTTTTTTTTTATTTTTACATTTTCATTATTTATCATTCAGCTATTCTGTTATTCTGTTTACAAATACTGTTAACACCTAGCGTTTGTTATGTTGTTTTTCTCCGTCAAAATGATTGCACTCACGTACAAATTGTTTTTTTTTTTGAAATTCTTGGTTTGCAGGCTGTAGTTAAAGTTTCGATTCTGAATACAAATTGTTTACGAATAATTTCGAATCTGCCCATCGCCCGCGGTATCCTTACTAAAAAACAGGACCTGCAATAATGCAAACTCGTACCACACTTTGTTGATCATTTCTTACGAGTACCTCGCCCAACTCCCCTAAAAAAAAAAAAATAAATAATAATAATAATAATAACAAAAATAAATATACTTTACAAAAATTATTATAACGTTGTAAAATATACATTCGTTATTAGGTTTGTTGCTGGAGGAAAATTCCATTTCGTAATTATTATTTTTGAAGTATTTTCAAATGAAATTCGAAAGGGAGAACATATACATACACATTTTTGTATAATATATTTTTTTCGTATGAAAATTATAATCGACATCCCCATTCATCCTGCTGAGGGGTGGGTTTGTACGGTAACAAGACCGTAATGTAATAATTGAAATTCTATTAAAAATCAAAATTAAAAACAGCTGGAAATATAAAATTGTACGTCATTCCGTAATAATAATTTATGATTAATGCGATAAATAATAAAAAAAAAAAATAAAAATAAACCAATTGCAGAACATGCGACGCATTCAATTGCTGTGTGTAATTCGTCGGTCGGAGACTATTTTGCCGAAAACGATAGATACACTATTGTGCTATCGTCAATCCGATGTCATATAATTGAACGGTTGTGCACGAATAAGTGCACAGCCGTTCAATAAACATAAAAACCAAATCTGAGCAAAGCCGGCAAAACATTTGTTAGATCGTTTTAAATCGGAAACGCTGCAGTATTTATTTGCGATTGAAACAATAATTGTATTATACATTTTAATTCGAAATGTTCAGAAAAATAAATTACGAGATTACGCGCTGCTTTATCCACTAAGTGCAATAAATAATGAACTTTCCATCGAATTTCCGAGCGTTTTCGTCGGCACGAAACCAATTCAATTCCCAGAAATTTGAAAATTTCAAAACGATTATAAATAATCCATCAAAATGTTTTAACAATTTTGCTACACATAAAAAGTGCTAATATATATGTACTCGGCGAACGTTTCGGGGTTTTAAGACAATAGCTGAAAAAAAAAAAAATCGAAATTAACAAAAACGGCCGTTATCCGTGAATATATTTAGTTTTTTTTTCCGACGGTTTTTCTTACGTCCTACTCGACGCACTTACCACAAAAGAAATTCGTTACAAGAAAGTTCCCATTGTACAGATTTCGGTTGGCGTAGGATTTTCGGTCGAAAAGTCGTTCACGGACACGCGCGCACAAAATTAAAAAAGCCTCGCGCGTCGTGCGCTGCAGTAAAACCGATACGTTCGCGCAGAATCTAATGAATATGATATTCATGTACTCGAAACAATTCGGTAGGTGTAAATAGTTATTGTTTCGTACGGAATTCGCGTTTTGTGTAGATTCGAATCGCTAGGAAAAAAAAAAAAAAAAAAAAAAATAAAAAAAACGTTTGTCAATAATGCACGCTGTCACTCGTCGTCGTACCACGACGTATGCGTATTTTTTGGTCCGAAGTAAAAAAAAAAAATCAAACAAGTATACCGGTCAATAAAGTTTTAAAAGTCCGAAAATAAATATACGTATTGTTTTCTTTGCCGCTGTTCTTTGTTTTTTTTTTTTTTTTAACAAAACTAAACCGTTTAGGAAAAAATTACCCGCCTTGCGTCGTACTGTAGCTAAAACACACTCGTTACACGCGATATTTAAAGTATCTTATTAAAAAACTTTTCGGTTTGTTATTTCAACCGCGTCATTAGTTTGATAAATACTAACGATAATGCTGTATAATTGTTTAAGTGATAATAATTTGTCGTCGTTCAAAATTGAATTTGTTTAAATATAAAAAAAAAAAAAAACCATAATTTTATAATTTGTTCAAACAACGCACTCGCGTAACGAAAATAATCGTAGGATTATATATTTTAAAATCGATAATTATAATAAACGTCGTTAAATCGTTAAAAGTGCTCGGTAAAAAAAAAAAAAAAAATGGTGAGTTTTACTCAAGCTTATTGGTCTAAATCTAAAACGTCATATTCGTTCGGCTCTTCCAATTGATAGGGTGTCGAGCAGTTGTAGATGAGTGGCAAAGTCTTATCATTAAGATTAGTCATTAAAAGTGTGACCCTGATTTTATACACTCACGTGACGAGAATTACAAACTGTGAGTTATAATCTCCAAAAGATACACATGTTTGATACTAACGTGATACACTTTCATCGTTCTGGCTTCAAGGGCGACATGGTTTTTGCTTAAAAACGACCCTTCTCTTTTCATCCCCCAATATGATGAACTGATGTTTCCTCTGTTCACCCAAATCGATTACATTTTTTTTTTCCGCTGGCGATTTCACTTTCAACATTTTGGAAACAATTTATCAAAATTAATAAACTAATTTGACACAAAAGCGAAGGAACGAACCTTGTACCGGTTACACCGAACGGTTGAACTATCGAATATTATTATTTTGAACCGACAAAACGACAATGGCGCTTGTTTACCCATAGAAATCATTTATATTGGTTTGCTGGTGTAATCTAAACCAAATATCAATCACAATGTAGGCTACAGTTGTACCTAACCGTGAATGTTCCGTCGATTTCGTAAATATAGTGCAAAGTTACAAAATGCAACCAAAACCCGATTATAAATATAGATAAACAAATATAT